CCCCTGGGAAGTTGTTACACCTGACTACAAACACTAGAGAAAATCCAAGTGAGAAACGTTCATCTACTGTTCAGGGCAGTTGTTTTGGTTCTCTGGCCAGGAGCTAACAAATCCCAGCCTTTTCTGGGGCAGGGTGGTCTGTGTGTCCCCATGGGCACGGTACAAACCCAACAAAAGTCTTACTCTTTCTCAGTCTCACTCCTTGTGGGCAGAGCTAACAATTGCGGGGATTGGGGCCAGCAGAGGCTTCAAGAGATCAACTGGGCAACTCCTTTCCAGGTGAAGCACAGGGTTCAGAGAGGAAGCCACTTGTGTGGAGCTCAGAGGTGTTCAGTGGCCACTCTGGGACCTTGGCCTGTCTCATCCCACTGACAGCTCTGCTCTGAGGATTGCTGAGCGCTCTTTGTGTTCTACCCCGCAAGGAGAGCACAAAGGAAGGTTTAATCAGCAGCAGAAGAAGCATACCCAATCCCAGCTCAGCTCTGACAGCTCTGAGGATGCCTCCCCATGGTGCTGGTTTAAGCACAGCCCCAGGCGGTCTTCAGCATCTTAGGCTTCTTAGGCAAAGCTGGGAGCTCCAGGCTTCCTCTCTAGATAGGCAAGGGATTTCCATATTAATAAGCTGCCCTCATTGGAATGTCAGCTTCTCTCTCAGAATCCCTCAAGTGCCTCTGAGAGGAACTTACTTCTTAGAAGGGAATTACAGTCTCAAACTGAAGGCTTTTGCCCTTCAGAACATGCAAAGGTCACAGAGTTCAGCTGTATACTTCCCCAGGCAGGTGTTTCCCTAAGTGGGATTTGCCTCTGCTGTACCCATTGCCACCCTCAGCCCATGCCCCACTGCTCCCTCCTGCACCACTGCCAAACCCTCTGCACTGCCTCAGTCCAACAGTTTCTCTGTGGTGCTACCAGCACAATTACTTAAATGGAAATTCTGCTTATGCAAGGTCCCTGCATTGCCCTTGGGATCAAGTGAGATTTCAGTTTCAAAGCATTCACTCTGGACTCCCCTCCCTGGGCTGTAGGTTATCCTGAGCTAGATTTGTAGCTTCTTTCTTGTTCTCTTCCAGAGAGGTGGGTATTTGCTGATAAGTCAAATTGTTCAGGTCATCTTCCTCCAAACTCTCTTTAAGGTCTTCAGGGAAGGAGATTCTCCACCAGTGTCCCTTTTATGAACACCAGCAGATTCTTGAAATGAAGGGCTACATTGACTACAATGTCAGCAGAATTTAATTAGAAATTGAAAGACCTTTTAAATATCACTTGTTCTTCTAGAATGTTTGATTATGTGATCTATAGCAACCCAGACTTAGGGACTTCTATGAGTATATCATGGCATTTGCTGGACTGAAGCTCAGCTTTTCCAAACAAGAATTTATAAATCACAGGACAGGAGGAGACAATAGCAGAAGGGCCCAGTAGGGACTGAGCCTGTGAACTTAGCAACTTCAGTGATCAAAGTGGAAGGACCACTTTGTAAACTTAGAAGGCTTTTCTATGTCAAGATTTCTGAAGCCTTAAAGCATGCCATTTCTATATTAATGCTTTCTTCTTCCAGCCCCATTTTATTTTTATTTTATTTTCATGGTTTTATTATGAAAGCTAAAAAAAGATTGCTTTGGATGGTCCAGCTATATTTTCTACTTAGACTTATTGCTTCTTTATTAAATACACATTCATGTACTGACTTGATGAAAGCTAGTCTCGATGCAGGCTCATTTATATATGACAGATGCGTGTAATAATAAGTGATCACGTATAGGTTTATAATAGCATCTTCGAAGAACTGACACTCCTGTGCTTCAGGGCTTATGAACGAATTTTACTCTTTGGTTGGTGCCTCCAGAGAGCACACTTGGGTGTTTGCGGGTTGGAGGATGAATCTCATTCCTTAAGTTACCCTCCATGTTTCTTTAGTTAGTGGGGAAGGGTTCCAAGTCACATAGCCTCGACGGATTCTTTCTTCCTCCTCACTTCAGCTTGTTCCATGAGTACTTGGCTATGTGGTTCCAGCCAAGTGGGCCTCAAGGATGGTGTGTTGATGGTAGCGAGAGAGGCGGCTGCTAATATATCAGTGAAACAAGTACTGTCTTGAACATGCCTTAGCCACAAGTCACATCTCCAGATTTATGCAAAACCTGATTTCTCTTTGTAATAGCAGTTCACTCTGTGTCAGAAAGAGGTTAAATTGTTTTATGGAAAGAAATATTCTGACAAAGTAACCAAGTTTAGATAAATGAGTTGAAAGGTTAACACAGTGTCAATATTTTGTAGTACTTGCTGAGAATGACCTAGGGAGAGGGAAACAAGGGAAATTGTAGCTGTCAGTATTCGGCATGGACAGCCTGCCACAGTACCTTTCAGTAGGAATTGCTCTGCACTGTGTGATGAGAGGGTGCTCGTGCGAAATGATTTCCCTCCTGTCTGTACTTGACACTTTTGTGTGAATGTGCTGCACCCTTCACTGACAGATTTTCTAAGTCTGCTTTCTTTTCAGGGATGCAGAAGTTTGAGAAGGCTCCCGAGTGGAAGGTGATCTTTAATGCTGATTCTCCTGGGATGGTCAGGTCCAAAGTGCCTGGCTCTGAATCCCCACTGATGCAGTGCTTGGCAGGTGAGAGCCACTGGGGAAATGAGCACACAGGGAATGGGATGTGAGTAAAACACAAGAAAGTGCACCATTAAAACCATAATGAGGAAGCACAGGTTGTCAAACTCATTATGACTCGATTAATTTTCACCATGTTTATTCCACCCATAATTTCATTGTAGGGCTCATAGCACATCTACTAAATGGCAAGAAGTACATGAGATACTAGGAGACAAATGAACACATTTAGTTCGTTACAGAGATACTTAGGGTATGTTTCTGTCTATGGTAACCATGAGGTAAGAGGTCGTACTAACAGCTAATATTTACCGAGCATGTGTCTTTACATGGATTATCTCATAACCTTACCACCATTCATATGAAGTAGCCATTGTGATCCCAAGTTACAGGGAGAGTGTAAGTTCAAGGGCACAGAGCTAGCAAGTGACAGAGCTTCAATTCAGAGTCAGCCTAATGGATATTAAACCTACAGTCTTAACCATTATTGCATTATGCCTCCTTTGGTAATGAAGTGGTTTAGTTGTTTACGAGCACTCTAGCATAAATCTGTTTTGGATCTCTGCTCTGGCTCTGCTGAGCATATGCGGCTCATAGCACAAACACAATGTAGGTTGTGAAGAAGGAGCTGACAAAAAAAAAATAGAGAATGAATGGTATTTGTAGGGTCCAGGGCGGTCATGGCGAACCTATGGCATGGGTGCCGCAGCAGGCTGTTTGCAACATTGAAAGCTCTAAAAGGTTCACCATCCCTGGTCTAGAATGGAACCGGGGTGGGGGGATGAGCAGACATGAGGAGCACCCACATGTGCACTCACACACTGTGACACAACTTGCAGAGTCCTGTAGAAGGAGGTGAGCAGAGAGGACAGGTCCCTTTGTTAGTCAGGAGATGGTTTATGTATCTAGGATAAACTTGGGGATGGAAATGTGGTATCAGGGATAGGTAAGAGTTGAGCAAATCCACCATGTCAGGAGGGTCTAGCAAGGTAGTGTCCTGTCAGACAAATGAAAGAGGGCCATGCAAGACAGGAAATACTTGTGATCCATGGGAATTCAGGCAGTCAGCACTGTGGCAGAGTCCTTGGGCTGCCATCACTAAGTACCATAGAGCAGGTGGCAATGAAACTTATTTCCCAGAATTCAACAGGCTGAAATTCTGAGGGCAAGGTCTGTTGTCTTCTTGGCTCATAGACAGACTGCTGTCTTCTCCCAGGTCCTCGCATGGTTTTCCCCTGTGCCTGTGTCTGTGTCGTGGTCTCCTTTCTTAGAAGAACACTAGTCGTATTGGATTAGGGCCAACCCCGATGACCTTACTTTTCACTAAGTCACTTCTTTGAAGACTTCCTCTTTAAATTTAGCCAGACTCAGAGGTGCTGGGGTCAGGATCTGAACATATAAATGATGTGGAACACATTTTAAGCCATATTAAATATCTAGGAGATCCTACAGAAGGTGGAAGGGCTACTTAAGAGGAAGGAAAACCAAGGCATTGTGGCAAAGAAAGAGGTAGATACTGTGGAGAGAGGAAGGGACCAGGTAAAAAAGCTACGTTCCTAAAGGTCCAAGCAGTACAGTGGCGAATATGAGGGAGGTGTAATACAGTGGGACACAAGATGACATTGTGCTTGGGGCCATGGCAGCCGACCTGGGCCTGGGTCAGGCTCAGCCAGAGTGGACAGTACTGTTCTAGGTTACTGATCCAGAACTCTTCCTGCCATACTGATTGGCTTTGTCCCTGAGCTTGAAGCAGAGATTGCAGTGATGACCAAAGTCACACAGTTGAGTAAAGGTAGGCTTCAGGTCCAGAAACAGGTGAGCCAGAGTGAACTGCTTTCTTTGCTTCTAAATGGGCTGGACAATGTGTGGATGAAAAGACTCAGCATTTGCTTCTCAGTGCCCAATTCATGAGGGAGCTGGACCCATACAACATCTAGGGGGACCACCTTCACAGCTGGGGTTCACCCCCACGGTTCCGTCTTCACAGGTCCACTCCCCACCTTCACAGTGAGGTTCTGACTTGTGCGCTGTCCTGTCAGAGGAAAGGAAAACACATCAGCCACCAGCTATATGGCTCTCCCTTGCCCTGAAGCTGGTGAAATGTGAGGAATCAGTTCTTAGCTTTGTCCCTTCATCTCTAAATTTACCTCTCGTGAGCACTTATGCAGACACTTCAGCAGTGTCTGTACCTCAAATGCTGCTTGCACATTTGTAAATTTTCTTTTTCCAGCCAACTCACATTTTTTTTTTTACCCAAATCTTCCATTCTTGGTATGAGCAGCTATCACTACTCATGAGCTTTACACAGCTGAACATGGCTCGGTTTAAGAAACTATGATTACTTCATTCATTCATTTAACCAACTCTGAGCCTTCTGTGTGCTGGGCACTGCGCTCCATGCCTGTGGTACAGGGAGAGCAAAGCAGACTTGGGCCTGCAGGGTGAAACGGGGCCTCTTATCTTGGGAGAACCCCTTGTAAGAAATGTATTGTCATGTCCCCCACCCCCGGGCCCACCTCAGCTGTCTGGTGAGGAGCACAACCTCAAACTCAGGGGGTCTCAGTGTGATCTCGGTGGATACCAGGCCTGGTCCTCAAAGTGGAGAAGTCCTGCACATCATGAGTCCGAATGTGTGTGCGGAGGTTGTGAGAGTGTGCCCGAGTGTCACCGTCTCGCTGAGGCTGGTGGTGACTGTTGCTCACATGTTTGCAGACTGCGCACAGGATGAGGCCTGCAGCTTCTTCACGGTGTTCACCACAGAGCCAGGGGTCACGTGTGATTTCTATGGCTGGACGAGCGACAGCTTCGCCTGTACCACTTCTGCCCAGGTGAGGCATGGTGTGAGGCTCCCTGGCTGTTCCATGTCAGACACACTCCAGTGCCACGGAGAGGGCTGAGGAGGCGATGGGGTGAGATGGTCACAGCTGATCTTATGGCCTCCCGTTCTTCAGAGACGGGACTTTGGGAACCGAAGCTGCACTAGGCCTGAGAGTGACTGCAGAGGCAGAGGCAGCAGTGTCACTTCCCAGGGAGTCACACAAGAGACAGCACTGAGCCCTCACTTCTAGTCCCCCCACCACTGGCTTCATAGAGCAGCGTGAGCCCACACGGGCAAGGTCATTGTCATGGCCCCCAACACTGCCTGTCCCTCCAAGTCCTAGATGGGTCTCCAGTGAAAACCAAAATGTCCCATCCTAATTTTCTGACTCCTAAGCCTGGTTGAATCTCCATTTTACATACATGTTTCATATGCATCCTCTGGAAAGTGTCCATGCACTTAGAACTTTTTAAATGCTAATATTTTCTCCCATGTGCTCCTTCTACCTTGATTTCCTCATGAGAGTTGGGATCTGGATCTGGATCTTTTCAGTGGTAGCGAAGCTGTTCATACCCTGGATGTGCATTATCCGCTTCCCATGCCCTCAGTTATGGCCATGCACACCTGTGACAGTTTTGTGAAATCACAGACACTAGTACATTGCACGCCCATGCACTTGTATGTGAAATTGGACTCAGAGTGGCATCCTGAAAGAGGTGGGGTTTCAGGGCCTTGAGCTGGGGTCTGTAGAGTCGGTAGCTACAGGATGTACAGAAGAGTGGTGGGGGAGCATTCCCAGCTCCACTACTTGCTTGTTGGTGTTTAGGTCCTTGGTCCCTCAGAGTCCCCACATCTTCCACAGGATAATAATGGTATCCACATTGTAGGATCATTGTGAAGACTGAATGCCTTCTTATGTGGAACATCTCAGAGAACAGCTGCAGGGAACATTCTCAATGACCATATCATACTTATCATACCCTTCTCAACTCGGGCTAGCAGGAAATCCCATCCGGAGTATCACGAAGGCTCCTGGGCTTGCAGTGCCCTGTTGGGGGTGAGGGCAAGGCTGGGATATTGGTCATTGTGGTCAGCCCATCATGCCCCACGCTGGGGTCTGCAGTCCCAGGTCGTGCTTTAGTCTTCTCAGCTTTGCTGCTTCTGGGCCAGGTTTGGGCTGTGGGGTATGAGGGACTCTTTACAGGAGCCCCTGTGCCTTGTGTTTAGCCTCCCCTGGGCCAGTCATCTTGGCTTCCCGCTGCCCCTGCCCTGCCAGGGAACAAGCACAGAAGGACCAAAGGTTCCACTGCAGTCTGCAGTAGCCCCTTCCTGCTGTGCTTTCCAAAGTCACCTCACCCATGAGCTCAGGCTGCCTGAAAAGCTTGGGCTGTTACCTTCCAATGGCCTGTGCTCTTGCCTCTCTCTCCATCAGTACCCCAGGCAATTCAGAGTCTGACAACCAGGATGAGAGAGCAAAATACCAGGTTGAAAACACAAACACACGTAGCCAAATTTCTCCCATATACCCACGGGGAAGAATTGCTCAGCATAAATCACAAGAGAGGTCAGTGGTGACTAAGACTGTGAAGCCTCTAGAAGTGCGAGCTCACCGTTTCTAAGTGTGCGAACCTTCCCTGGATGGAAGCTATGGACCTCCGTGTTCTCCCGGGAGCTGGCCTCTTCCTCTTTTCCTTTCATCAGTCCTGCTCTCACTGGACCTCGGCTAAACGTCTGCTTGATTCCGGTGCTCATGTCTACTGTTTCCTCCCTTAAAATCTACCCAGCTAATTCTTGCTCATACACCAGAACCTTACCCAGATTTGCTTTTCCTGGGGGACATTCCCAAGTTCTGCTGCTCCACAGAACTATTCACTCCTCCTCTGAAAACACCTCCTTCTAATCGTCTGGCTCTTTACAGCTCACACTCTGGGCTGATTTACTGCTTCCATGTTTGTCTGCTCCAGTAAGCTAGAAGAAACTAATGAGTAGGAATCTTTCCCTTTTTATCTCATGGTCCCAGTGCCTGGCTATGGTTAGTTTGAAAAATGTATGTTGAACGAACCACAAAGTGTCAGGGGATATTGATGTGCCTTCGTTCCATTTGCAGAAACAAGATACTCTGGAGAGCCTGCAGGTCTCTGACTTCGGAAGCCTTAGGTGCCAGGTGAAAGTGAGGAACCACAATCAAGAATCTCTGGCTGTGTTTTTGAAAAAGGGTAGGTTGGTGAAGCTGGATGCCTCAGGGGCCCTTGTGTCTGGAGCCGTTTTCTGGGAGGGTGTTTTGTGGGGAGCAGACCGTCCTCGTCTGACTCCATGCCTGAACCAGTGTCCTGGCGTCCATGCTACAGCTGGCTCCTCCTACTGCCTCCTGCAGAGAGCATTCTGTCACTAGCTGCAGTGGGTTTCACAGCACGCTCAGCTCACTTGTGCCATCTGATTCCACCATCACCCCGTCTGTGGGGTGTGAGCCTCACACAGCAGATGAGCCTCTAAGCCACAGTCCAGACAGAGCCCAGATGCGGAGAATCCTGGCAGAACTCAGCAAGTACAAACTGTGGGCCCTCATGTAAGGCCCTGATGCCACTTGTGATGCTGGTGTCCCAGTGGGGCCTGGGATCAGCTCTCTGCAGCTGTCCCCCAACCCTGGCCTTCTGATTCCTTCAGCTTCTCCTTCTCCACTCTCACCAGACATTGCCAGACTTCTTCCTTCCAGTCACCTGAACCCCTAAGGGCTTCTTCCTCTTCCAGGCCCTGTGCTCAGGGGACCGATCTATGTGCAGCACATGTGCATTACATGGGGGAGTAGGAACCACTGATTGAAGTGCTGATACTGAGCCAGTAAATGTGGTAGAGCAGGGTCCTGCATTCCTAGTAATCTCTCTGAGGACACTTCTGGTGTGGGACCACACTTTGAGCAGCAAGAAGTTCGCATGTTGTAGTTCACAGCCCACTTTCCTGTTCAGCTTTTTATTTCGCCTTCACAGCAACTCTTGCAAGAAGGTAAAAAGGAGAGCAGAACATCCTTTAGTACACAGTCACTCTGTTGGTCATCTGAGGAGCCAGACTTAAATCTCAGAGTGACTGTGTCCTCTTGCCCCACCATGCAGAGGGAAGCAGGCCACCCTCTGGCAGTAGGTAACATGTGAGGGATGAGCATAGGCCTTCCCACAGTCCTGTGGCCTGTGCTCTTCTGCCCTGCCCTGCCCTGCCCTGCCCTGTTGGCCTCCTGCCCCTGTCCATCAGGGCCATGGACTTGCCAGTAACATGGAGCTTGGTCCTGCATGTGGTTTGTGGCTCTCCCTGCAGTCCTTGCTCTGGGCCTTCACTTTCCTGGGGTTTAGGGCTCAGCCAGGATGCGGGAGTCACCTTTGCAGGGTGAGCTCCAGCTCTGCTCTGTGCCATATATGTGATCCCAGACATGTTCCTGGACATTCTAAACCTCCATGTCCTTACCAGTAAAGCCGGAGTCCTACGGGGATCCAGGCTATCAGGTTGCAGTAAAGTGACCCATGGGAAGTGCTCAAGCACTGGCATGAGGCGAATAGCTCAAAAGTGCAGGACATTTCTATGACCATTTCTTCCTTGCTGACAAATTTCCTGCTGGCCAGTGCTGTAGCTGTGGAACAGAAGAGTCGGTGGGAGCTGAAACTGGGACCTGGATTGGGGTAAAGGGAGTTTGGCTGTCAGTCTCTGAAATCTATAGCATAGGGCAGATAGTTTGGGCTCAGCTGCAGACTTATGCTGGAAGATAGTGCCCTGGCCTGGCCCCACCTTCCCAGCTGCCACAGCTGCCCTTAGCCAAGGCAAGGACAAACATCTCTCCTCCGGTCCTCCTGTACCCAACACCTCTGCCTTCACCTTGGAATGTGTTTGGGGGCCAGAGACCGCTGAGCTCAGGTTTCTTTGCTCCGTGCCAGATCACTAAAATTTCAGCCTGAGTGTTTATTCTAATGACAGTATTTTTACCATCTGTCTTTAAAAATAGCAAAGCATAGGGATGATTTTCTAAAAAAATAAAAATTAAAATAAACAAGTAACCCCTACTAAAAATATTCTTTAAAACCATGATTTAGCTTTTGATTACATTCTTAAAAGTGCAATTGTGTTTCTTAAATGATTGTTATTTTCTTCTTCTCCCCACCCCTAAAAGTGGAAACCTAGGGGGAAGATTATAGAGAAATTGAGACACTCCTAGGTGCCAAGATAAATCAAGGGCAGAAATGAGCTTCCTTTTGTTTTGTTCTGGACTTTGGTTTACAGCAAGCCACACAGCGACCCCACTCTGACTCCTGGCAAGCTGGAGAGAGAAGGTGGCCAGAGTTGGCCTGGACTCCAGGCTCCTGCCTCCCCTGACCCCTGTCTCTGATCAGAAATAGCCTCTCAGTGTTACTGAAAGCTCAGACTCTTTTCTGTAAAATCTGAATGACATGTCACAGCCAAGGAGGAAAGCAGGCATTTTCTGAACAGTCCTTGGCACCTGAAGGCAACTAGTTCTGTCAGTCACACCTGTCACTTTACATGGTCCAAAGGATGGGCAAAAATTCAGAGCTTTGACCGTATCTCAGTTCCATTTGCTCTCATGTCATGGCTGTGGGCCTTGGACCTGGACAGTGTGTGTGATCTTTCAGAATTAGAGGAAATGAGTGTCAGAGAGTTCCTCAGTTTGCCTACCTCAAACCCTCATTATACTGATGAGGCCTAGAAAGGGGCAGCATCTTGCCCCCCACCACATCCGGGCAGGCTGTACCCCCAGTCTGAACAACCTCTGTGGCCTGGTCTAGTGGCCAGTGGTCTAGTGTTGTCCTGTGGAGGCGCCTGTGCCTGCACATCTCTTAACTCAATGGTGGAGAACCTATGGGACCTGTGCCACAGTGGGCTATTTGTTATCATTGAAAGCTCTAAAAGATTCGCCATCTCTGCCTTGACTCATCATGGGCAGCTCCGTGCGGCAAGCCTGTTGTAGGCAATGTGGCTGTAGGTGTGAGCAAGCAGTCACCAACCCACGAAAAGATGGATGCAGCAGTAAGATCATTTCAGAGGGTGTCCAGGGTGAAAACGAGAGTGAAATGGGACACGGATTCAGGAGCCTCCAAGGGAGGGGCGCATAACTAGCGTGACCCCGCTTCCCTGTCTGCCAGGTGTTCACACTGATCTACGTCACAGCAACCAGAGCAGGCCAGCGGAAGGGGACGGGGAGAATACAGGGACAGCCAGGGCACGGTGCCTCTGGGTGTATTTAGAGCTTAGTAGCTATTTCTGGCAATCATAAAAATAACAATAAAGGTGAGTTTTGTAGATGAACGCTTAGACCTTCTTACGTGTGAGGGGCATCTGTCCAGGTCTTCTGAGTCTAGGACTGAAGCCTTGGCTGTCTCCACCTCTGTCACTCACTCAGCCAAGTCCAGCAGTTTTGTGACAATATTGTTTCCTGGCCTATCCTCTGTTCAGCATGTCTAGGGCCAATGCAACAGACTGTGTTTGCAATTAGCAAGCTCTGCTCAGCTCCACAGAGTTTTGAGGCCTTTTGTATCTTGTTTTTTTTTTGCCTTTCTTCAGGCCAAGAATTCACCACGGCAGGCCAGAAAAACTTGGAACCCACTGGTTTCCAAAACTCACTCTCTGGATTGTACAGCTCCATGGTGTTCTCAGCCTCCGGAGCCACCCTGACCGATGTTCACCTTTTCTGTCTTCTTGCCTGTGAAAGCAGTGCCTGCTGCGATGGCTTCATCCTCTCGCAGATCCCAGGAGGTGAGGCTGGCAAGAAGGACTGGGCCTAACATGGGGTGGGGAACAAACAGAGACACAGCAGCCAGAACACATGTGGCACAGGGGACTTCAGGGAGACGACCGCCACAACCAGGAAGAAGGTACTACTCGTACATACCAGGCCAGATCCCAATCCGGCCCCTTCCGCATGTGGCCCACTGTGCTAGCCACTTCACAGGATGTGTTCTCATTGCTACGTTCAGTTCTACAAGCCCAGAAACTGGAGTTCTGAGAATTTAAGTCATTTTCCTCAGAGCCATTAGGCTTGCTAAGTGATGGAGCTGTGCCTTAGCCCGAGGACATCCACAGCAGCATTCCCCTGCCACCCAGGAGGTAGGGCTGGTCACACTTGGTCAAAAAATTTAACTCATTCCTGTTGCCTGTGATGATTCAGTCTATAGTCATCTTTTGCTCGCTTACTGTGTTCCAGGTCCTGCGCTCCATAGGACAGCTGTTCCCAATTGTCTTTCAGCAGGGGGCACACTCCTATTTATACAAATAGGGACTTGGTAGAGTGGCTTGATGGTTGAGCAGGACTTTGGTGCTGTGGGCCTGGTTCTAGGATCTGTAGTCTTGGATAAGTGGCTCAAACAAAGTTGGCATCTCCTTGTCCATGAAATAGGGAAGGATATCTACTTGTTAAAAGATAATGGACACAACACGAGGGCAATGGTTTGTTCCCTGGGGTTAGTGCTGACTTAGTAGCTTAGAAACAAGAGGACTTAGCTGTCTCCAGCAGCGTCATCTCTGCCTCCACCTGGGCGGCATCAGACTGTGACCCAGGGGTGACTGGTGGCATTGAAGTTATGGGAAATTCTGAAGACTGAAAAAATGGAAATAACCTGATACATCTTTAGCAGTGAACAATGCATTTAATACATTGCCACATATATGTAGTCCAACGTGATGGGCAGTAGGAACAGGAAAAAGGAGCTTTGTGTCTGGAGAGAGGCAGAGTGCACCATGACATTCATCCGTTCTCTCATTCGTGCCTGCTGTCATTAGCCAGAACGTGTTGAGCCCACGCTGGCCCGGCTCTGTAAACACGGCAGAATATGGGGCGTGTCCAGCAGAGGTGCAGAGTGGGCAGAAGGTGAGAGAAAGGGGACCTGGTGGTCAGGAAAGGCCTGTGAGAGAGGAGGAACGCGGCCAGGCTCTGTAGCAGGGATAGTACGGAGGATGACAAAGAAGGAGGAGGAGTCTGGTCCATACGGGCTCTGCTCTGTGAGCAGAGCTGGGCAGGGAGATGCCGTTTTGAAGGACATTAACAACTGAGGCGGCATTTTGGGAGGCAGCTGTTTTTATAGTGCCTTCGTTCATGTCCTCGGGCTGTGACCCCTTCAGCACCTCCAGGTCGCTCCCTCAGGCACAGGTTAGAGAGGTCCCTCCTGCGAGGCCCTTCACCTGCGCCTGCCCAGAACTGCTCCTTCCTTGCTGGCTCTTCCGCTCTGTGGCAGCCCAGTGTCTTCTCTGGCTCCCGGCTCTGAGGCACATGCCGTGTTCTCAGCCCCTCTCCCTTCCTCAGAGCTCAAAGAGCAGGTCCAGCAGAGCTGAAGGCTCCCAGCCTCCTTCAGATTCCATCCTGTGCTCTCCTTCCCTGCCAGCTCCAGGCCCCTCTTCATGCTTTCCACTCCTTCATCACCTGACGCACAACCCACTTCCCCGAACCTGCCGGGCAGATGAGGACTCCCCTAGGCTTTGACACGGACGTTTGTCCTCTGTCCCTGTGACAGCACATGAGCAGGTGCAGAGCAGAGTCAGTAGACCTAGCGAGGCGGTGACACGCCCAGTGCCCCAATCCCAGAGATCGGCACAGTGCACTGGACTCGGCTTTCGTGATTCATGGCACCAAGGGCTTGTGCTTTGCCCTCCCGCCTTCACTCCCTCTAATCTCAGATCCCAAGGAAAGAAAGGGTGATAGTTCATGAATAGGCTCTGAAAAAAGGTAAACATCATCGTGAAAACATGTAGCACGAGTTTTCCCTTATTCACGAAGACTTAAGTAGTGAACAATTTGTAGGGTTAACAACTGTCCCAGTGGAGGAACAGCATAAGCCAAGGCCATGAGGGAAGCGTGTGCGTGGCAAAGACAAGGATTGTGAGTCAGCTGGGGTCACCGGAGCAAGGAGAATGAGCGAGGGGAGGGGGCCTTGGCTGGTGAAGAGACAGGAGGGTGAGGCAGGGCAGGCCACAGAGAGCCTTGTAGCCGCACTGGCAACTATTTTTGCATTCTAAGAACAGTTGGAAACCATTGTAAGTTTTAAGCAAGGAAGTGTCACACTCCACTTGGATCTTAAAACCAGCACTCCAGCTGGAGGGTGGAGGTGACAGAGAGGGACTTAAGTGGGGAGGGAGGTCAGTGATGGGCAGTTGCAATGGACCAGTAGGAGGGGTAACGTAGGCTAGGAGATGGCAGGGTAGGTCTGAAGCAAGACACTGTGCCCTGTCTTTAGGAAGCAGATGCAGCAGGGTGAGGGATATGGGGATCCAGGAAGGGGGAGGTGTTGGGGATCAGTCTTGAGTGTCTAGCTTTCCACCAGGGAGGGTGGTCTGGTCCTATGACAGTAATGGAAGATATCAGTGATGGATTTGGTGATGGAGAGGGATATTTAGAAAGGTCCTCGGTCCATGGGATATGCTAAATTTAGAGCACCTTTGAGACATTCATAAACTGTCTTTTGGGCTCTGCAGTTTCAGAGGGAAATCCGGTCAGGAGATGTTCATGTATGGAGTAGAAGTACTGCAGGAGTACCACAAGGCATGGGCATGGCGGGATTTTCTCGGAAGAGAGAAGCAAAACAGTGAGAATATTCAGGGGTGGGCCGTGTCCAGTAAACACGCAGAGAGAGGGGGGAAAATTGCAGAGAGGGACACACAAGCACCCACAGGAGAGGAGGCGGCCTGGAGCAGGGGCCAGGTGGGAACTGCAGTGGGAGGTGGTGAGTGCAAAGCACGGTGGGATCCTGAGTGCTGCTGAGGGCTCGGGAAGTGGAGAGTGAGAACGCGGCCATGAGCGCACAGCTGTCAGTTGGCGGTAGCTGAGTGAGGGTGATATGGAGGGCTGGGGCAGGAACACAGATCAAAGAGATCCCCAGAACTCCTCCTATGCTCATAGTTACGCGGTGTGGACACGTGTTAGTGTTCAGATAGGGGAAAGTGTGTCACACACACACACACACCTTTATGCACACCGTGTTTAGAAACCCTTTAATCAAACCAAGGATGACTCTTTTAACCAGCTGCCTCTTCTGTGAATGCCAAGGTCTCCCCAGATGCTCGATTACTTACTTACCAGACCACATGGTCTTTCGAGTTGGAAAGGTTGATTACATTTTCCTTAAGATCATCTATGGAAAAATAGTGTTGCTCTGTGGAACAGTCAGCCCACAGTCCTTTTTTTCAGTGATATTTCTGGCTGGCAGTTTGCTTGCTTTCCCTCCACATTTAATCTGTGGTCTGTGCATTCTGCACATGGATCACCTCATGGCTCTGACAGCTAAGCCCTCTTGGAGGTACCCACAAAGGGTCTGGATGACACCCTCTTCAGGCTCACATGGGGGCACGCACGTCTGGGGTTTTAACTTACAGGGCTTTGGCTGGATCTGCTGACGACCAGGAACAGACTCCCACCACATCCTTCCACCACAGCCTGCAGTCACTTAACTCTCTGGTGATTCCCCTGTCCTCTTCCCCTCCTAGCTGTTCCTCCCAGAACCCTCCAGCTTCCTCCAGAAGCCAACCTCAAGTGGTCGTTTCTACACATAGTTATTAGTCTAACTTCTCAAGGCTCTGAACCTATATTTTAGTTGAGGCTACTTGAATGTGGGTCTCGGCGGAGACTCGTGTGACACTTCACGAGTGTCCCTGAGGCTGGTTGGTGTGGTTGGCATGGTGACCTTTGTTTCCAGCTGGACCCCGGCTCATGGACCACCAGATTTCTCACCAACACTCTAGCTCTAGGAGTCACATGGATGTCCTGAGCCGGAAGCAGGACAAGGGCTTGTTTGTTTAGCTCTGTCTCTCTGCTGGAGAGGCTGGGGGAGAGAGAGTGGAGAGTGGCGAATGGGAGGGAGGCCAGACCACAGTGTTAGGGCTTCCTCTGAAGCCTATACTGCCTCTGGGCTCCATGGCTGGTTCTCGCTCCCCACTGGCCATTCCACTGTTGCTCTGTAACCAGAAAAAACCATTCCCCCTTTCCATGCCCCAGTTTTCTCTTCTGTAAAACAAGGGGGCCTAACTGGGCCAGTGAAAGGGCTGTGCACCAGAATCTTCTGTGCGTGTTCAATAGACATTAATTCCCAAAGCCCCTAGCCTGTGACCAACTGAGGACAAAGGTCCACCCACATTTGGGGCCTGGGTGTGAGCATTTTTAAAACTCTCCTTGCAGTTTCTTTCTTTTTTTTTTTTTGTCGCCAGTCTGAGCACATGGTTTGGGATCCCTTTAGTGGCATTAGATGACCTCTAAGGGCATTTTGGGAACAGAACTTGGTTTAAAACCAGGCTCTGGAGTTGCAGTGTCTGTGTCTATACCCAAACTGTTGTCACCTGTTCCCACCTACAAGGCCAGGCAGAGGGGAGTGTCCGAGGGGCCCTGCTGCTTCCTTCTTACATCTCTCCTTGTGCCTCCACAGGGCCCCTGGTCTGCGGCCTGCTGAGCTCCCCCGACGTCCTCCTTTGCAACACTGCAGACTGGACAGACTCCTCCAAGGTGCAGGCTAACAACACTGAGTGTTGTGGGGTGACCTATGAGCAGGGGTCCCACCAGGTGACATTTCGTCTAGGAGGCCAGGAGTTCAAGAAAAGTAAGTCTCTGGCTTGCGTCATCCTTCCTTCCAAATTGCTCCTCTGCTGGCCAGTGAGGCCCTCTGCTGTTTCCTGAGCCCTCTGAGGAAACTACACTTGAGAAAAGAAAGCCAACGATGTCAGGGATGCTTCAGAGAAAGCAGCTTTCCTGGAACTGGCCCATCACCGACTCAGTCAACAGCATAAACCTCAGGCATGCCCCTTCCCTTTTGTTCTTTCAGGAGCTCTTCGGGCTTTTCTTTTTCACTAGAGCCAGAAGGCATGTCTTTGATGACCTGTGCCACCCCTCAATTCAGAGATGGTAGGAGTGCCCTAGTCAGGCCCCATTTCCACCTCCTGGCCTCTGAGAGCCTCTCCATGGACGCACAGAAGCAGGGCCTTTAGCCATGTCCTGCAGCTGGCTAGGCCAGTGTCACTCACGGGGTCAGGCCCGCAGCATCAGCCGGGAACTGGGGTAGACGTGCAGATTCTCAGGTCCTGCATCCCCAGGGCCCAGGAGTCTGTGCTCCAAGAAATCCTCCTTCACCCTTGAAGTCAGTGTGGGAAGAGAGCAGGAAGCTGCTCACTTCCCTTCCAGGGACAATCACCCCCGAAACGTCTCCCACACTGGGAGTCCGGCCCACACCATGGCCGTGACTGTCTTTGCACAGCACTTCCAGGAGACCCTGCTGTTCCCAAAGTCCTCACTGTACAGCAAAAGAAACTGTGTCAAGAAATCCCCAAGGTTGCAGAGCTAGTGAGTAGCAGGCTGGGTCTGAAACCACATCCTGGCTCCAAAGCCAGGGTCGTGGCCACTGCTCCGTGGGCAGACAGACAACTGGTGGGAGAACAGGGGCTGACACAGTGTCAACCTTAGATAACATCACTGTCGATGTCTTTTTTCTTATTATTCACTAAGTTTATTGGTGCATTTTAGGTGTACATTCTAATCACATTCACTGTCTTTAGTGTTGGTTGTTGTTTCTTGTTATCATTTAAGAACTGAACCGTATACATGTCATTAATTTCTGGGTTCACAGCATTGAACATCAACCCTAGCATGGAAAATATATTCAACATCTGTGGCAGGCTCACCACACGGGTACCCAAACCTGGAAAACTATTTCAGAATCTGGTGGAATTCCATGAGGCTTAAATGATTTCTTCTGGTGTACATAAAATCAAATGGCTTATTTATGTGAGGATTACTAAACACCTGGTACTCATTGCTCTAAGAGGTAGCCCAAGGTGAAAGCAGGTATTTCCAGAAGGAATATAACATATTCCTGGGCAGTAAATCAAGAAGGGATTGCTTAACCCAGAGCATGTGCTTGGTATGTGCCCAAGATGTAAAGAATGTGCCTCAACTGGTCTTTCTGGAAAGGAGTAATTACTGAAAGACCTTTGAAGGCGTTGGATTCTTTCAGTGCCATGGGTGTGTGTATGAGAGAGAGTTTCAAGGGAAGTGGCTTACGATGAGGAAAGTTTTTACTGAGAACAATAGATAACAAATCCTTCTTTTCTATAATAAGAAATAGTGATTTAATTCTCACTAGAGGCGAGTGATAGATGGCCTTCCCTAACAGAAGATATTGTTGGAGGGAAAGAGGAATGAGGGTTCCAGGAATATGGACAACTGAAGGGGAAGCATAGAATGGATTAATAGAAGATGAGATATAGGAGGAAAAACCAAACCACGCCAGAGTTTGGCAGCAAACTCTATCCCTCCTAAAGCTTCCGAGAGCCAGCGTCTTTTCCTTTGAAGTAAGATAGCTGTAAAACAGACTCTGGAACAATTTCTGGATGCAAACACAGTGCAGATGTTAACCGTGTGCATAGCCTTCCAGGCTGTGTCTTCCCAACTGTGGCAGTAGCAACTCCTGACTCCTGGGGAGGCTGGCTGTGAGGGGAGGGTGCTTGAGGCATGCAGAGGAGTGCCTGGAACATGGCAGGAGGAGGGAGTGTGGAGCAATGGCTTGGGTTTTACTGTACCTGGAACAGAATCCTGCTTTCCCCCCAGCTCTGTGGCTTTATTTGAGGCACTTACCCAACCTGAGCCTCTGGATCTCCATCTACAGAGGGGGATGCTTTGTATGATCCTGAAAGGTGCTGGAGTGCCGCACAGGCTGTAGCAGGAGGTACTGTTCCTGGCTCCCAACTGTGCATCCTATGAAGCCTGCGCAGGGCACCTTGCTGTCCAGTCAGCTTGCTGATCCTGCCAAGGTCTGGGTCAGCAGCGGCTCTTTACTAGGGAATCAGCGGTCACTTAGGCAGCACAAGTGAACTGGTTGTTGCTACCTGTAGGAAATCACAACCCAACAGTATAGACAATGACAACGAACCTTTTAGAGCTTTCAATGATCCAAACAGCCCACTGCAGCACTCATGCCATAGGCTTGCGACCACCGGTGTAGACTAAATTCAAGGCAGGAAGCAGGTCAAAATCTGTACTCATTATGCAAAGTGCTTTCACATCCACCAGCTCAGTGAAGCTTTGGACAGTCTGATGAGAGCGCAGTTCAGAGCTGTGACATGATGTACTTCTTGTTAGTGCCATGGCTGGGGCTCAAATCTTCAGCTCTGGAGACCAGAGTTGCCTCCACCATGCCCCTCAGTGCCACATTCTGCTGATGTGGTCCCCACAAGACTTTCTGGAAGCAGAAAGTTGTTATGAGTTGTCTTTGTCATTGTACCAGCAAAGCCAGTATCTGGTCATGGAGACTCACCCCGCAGTGCCCTCTGTGCCTGGCTGCATTCCAGAGCTGTGCTACACATGCCAGGTGACAGGAAATTCCACTTCGAGGATTTTAAGGGGCTCCTGGGGGAAGAGGACAAGTGATCCAGGAAGGCTACCAGGTCAGGGCTGAGCAGCAGAGGTGAGTGGAGGAGAGCTGGTGGTGGTCCTCGCCAGTGGCCCCAGCCTTGCGTTCATCTCCTTCACTCAGTGCTAAATGCCTGCCACATAGGTGAGAGGTACCAGCCAGGGGCTGGACTCTAATGGTGGCCCACCTGGTTCCTACTGTGGGAGCTCCCGGGCTTGCTGGGGGCGACAGGTTGGGACATTACTAGAGTCCAGGGACCTCCTGTTTGCCACCTTAGTGGATTGACAGTGATTGTAGCCACACAGAATGCTGCGTCACTCACCTCTGCTCAGTGGTTAGACTCCACCCCAGGGGCAGCCAGTGTCTGCTGTCTCCCATATTTCTCATGAGTATCTGGGTGATTTAAACTATTGGCATTGGTTTGATCAGCTTTCTGGTTTCTAATAAAAATGGCTTAGAAGTCTTAGGGGCTGCATATGAATAACCTCACAATGTCTTGAAGTACAAACGAGTGAAAAACAGGCAGATGAGATGACCTTAATTGCATAAAGACTTAATATCTGGTAAGAGGAAAAGGCCTTGTCAGAAACGGGCCTGCATTCATTTTGAATGAATGCTTAGTAGTGCTACCTGGTGCCTGCTATTCCCGCACTAGGAGGCTGTTTGGTGTCAGTGACTCTCACTGTTGCATTCTTTTCTTGCAAGAGTCAGAGCGATGCCCACATCTGGAACAACTCCACGGACCAACACATGCATGAACTTCATGTTCATTGTGCTGCTGGGGTGGCTGGTGCGTTAGTAGGGGACGGAGGAGCTGGTCTACCTGTGGCTCCTCTCTGGGGGCCAGGGCTCTTGGACGGCAGCTTGCACTGGCTCTTCATGGCTCTTGGAGTGCATTCTCCAGTGTGGGGTCCTGCCTACTCCAAGGGCCGAGGTTAAACCTGACGGCCACAGGTGCAGCTCTTGGTCTCTCCACAGGAGTACTCTGTGGGTACTGAGGACTGCTGCATAGCTCCACCCACCCTGCAGACTCAGGCACACACCACACACACGGGCTCTCAGTGTGGACGTGTGGATGGCAGGAGGGCCTGTCTGGGCAGCGGGACAGCCTCGCCCTGTGACTATGGAAGGAATGGCAGAGATGTCCCAGAAGTCACATCCTCACTGTGTAGCAAGGAGGAGGAGAAATAATGCCTTGGTTTCGTGGACCTTCTTAAAACCAGCGAGCAGAACTAGACAAGTGTTGGGGATGGAGAGGAGGTCCGGATTCTGCCTCAGAAGGACACATGCGGTGGCAGACTTCTCTTGCATGGAAGAAGGGCTCTGCATTTACTGGGGAGGCTGTGCGCACTCTGAGTCACTGGTTTCCTCCCACTCATTTCTCTTTGTGTTCATTCGTGTGGTAACCACCACTTGCTCACCAAGGACTGTGCTGTGGGTGGGAGAGGTCAAAGGAATCAGGCCTTGTCCTCACCTCAAGAAGCTCATAGTGAGTTCAGGAATCTTGCCACTGGCCACTGGATGTGAGATTGTGGACAGGTGTTCTTTGAGTGCTGTGCAAAGCCAGGAGGGGAGGTCAAGTGCGGAGGCCTTCAAAGCCAGCTGCTTGCTTTCTCTTCTCCTCCCCTCCCCTCTCCTCCCTTTCCCTTACCTTCTCTTCTCTCTTCATTCCTTCCTTTCTTTCATTTCTTATTTTCCCTTCCTTTCTTCCTTGTTTGCTTTGTTCTTTCCTCCCTCCCTCTCTTTCTCTCTCTGTCCTTCCTTCCCTCCCTCCCTCCTTTCCTTCCTTTGTTCTTTCTTCTAGTACTGGAAAATGAATTCAGAGCTTTAGTGCTGTGCCGCATCCCCACGCCCTTATTAAATTTTCATTTTGAGTCAGGGTCTCACTAAGTCACTAAGTTTCCCAGGCTGAGTTAGAACTTGTCATCCTCCTGCCTCAGCCTCCCAGAGTGCTGAGATTATAAGCATGTGCCAGTGTGTGTAACAAATCTGATTCTTAAAGAGTGAGGAGATGCAAATCAAATGAGATGGATGGATGAGGGTGCCAGGCAGAGAGAAAACCGGTGCCATGATGGAGAGGCCTAGGAGCCAGCATTAGATGTGACTGTGGAAAGAGGTGCTCTGGGGACAGAGCTGGTGAGTGGTGGCTCAAAATGTTACAAGGGAAGAAAAAATTTTTTTTCTTAATTGGAGTGGATTCCTGAAACAAAAGACAGATTAGCTAGAGAAAATCATGTTTCTATTTACCTGAGAACTACCCAGGGAATGAGCAATTCTCAAAGAAGTGGCTTTGAATTTCAGCTTCTATAGCATCTTCAGCGATAAACAGTGCATTTTTAGAAAATTGACAAAAAGACGGGGGGAAAAGACTGCATCTCTGGAGATGTTAAATTGTGGAAAGACAGACATGGCAGGAAAAGGCTGCTTAGGAAATCTCGTCCGTGTCGTTCTCTGTCACTGTCTCCAGTCCCATCAGGGTCAAAAGTCAGCTTCAGTGGTCCAGTTCCGTTCTCCTTGGCAGAGCGGGTGGGGACCTTCTGTCTACCTCTAACCTCCTACATGACCTGGCAATCATTGTAATGGTAAAGACACTACCGGGTTGTTACTTTCCTTGTGATTCACAAGGTAAACTACAACGACTTACATCTGAGAGCAGCGAAACATCTTGGAGATGTCATTTCACCCGCTCTTACAGGCTGAGCAAGAACCATAATGTATCCACTAAGACACTGTGAAAACTTTATCTGTATTGCCAAGCTATCTCTCTACTCTCTTGAAAAAAAAATGTCTGTCAGGGGTATCTGACTATAGAAAGATCTAAAAATTAAATTCCCTGGTTTCCCCTGTGACAGTCTGAAATAGCCTGAGCTTTATGATGAGCAGACGATGGCACCATGATGAGGACAACAGGACAGCTCTGTGTCCGTGGTGTGGCCTCCTCCATGAGTGGAGAGCAACACACAATTTCGGACACCTACGCCTGGGTCTCCAGGTGGTGTAGGCTGTACTCCCCCAACTCTTATGGATGACTTCCACCTGCTGAGGAAAACTATGAGAGAATTCTGAGCAGGCCCAAAAGGCCACACAGTATTACCCCACTGCAGGACAGTCTGAGAAGTCCTAGCATCACTGTTTATGCCCATTTCTGACACAGAATTTAGTGGGTTCCCAGCCCAGTGTTCTACCTCGACAGGGGCAGCACAGGGCATGGTCATCCTTGGCAGGGGTGGGGGGGGTTCATCACTTTGAAGGCCGAGTTTCCCATACAGTTGACTGTAACTCTGTAAACACAGGAACCTTGATGTGTTTGAGCCATTCTGGATAGATGGAATTACAGAATACCCTATCCTTTCCTTGGGGGTGCTGCCTAGGAGCTTGGCTATGGAACTAATCATAGGGGATTCCAATCAGGGCATTTACTTCTCTTGACTCTGATGTCTTCACCTAGAGCTTGGGGACCTTGCTTGGGGTATCACAGGGAAGTGTCAATGAGGTAAAGCATAAAAGGTGCTCATTATAGTGTTCAATAAGTGGCGATAGCTGTTTACCCATAACTGGTTTGTAATAATAACAGAAAGCAAAATTTGATCGTTTCTTGATGTCTCCAGTGCTGGCCCAGCTGTCTCCTGCAGGGTGTGGGATTACTGTCCTCCAGCCTTAGGTTTCCTGAGCACTTTCCTCAGTCTTCTCCATCAGAGGAGTTGGGAGGAAACACAGGGCTGCACATGGGCGAAAGATGAGCAATGGTCATCAAGAAATAGTGTGAGAAAGCTAGTCTTCCCCAGGGTGGCATCTAGTAGAACAGAGTTTGCCAGAAAAAAAATGTAATAATATTAATAATAAATAATACCAGCTGCCAATACGTGGGCGAGGACTCTGGAAGGCAGCATACATCTATATTCCTATCCTCACAATTGCTAACAATTGCATTCCCCACTTCTCACTGAGGCTCAGAGGAACTAGGTAATACTGAAAACAGGATTTGCAGCTTCCTGGGGATGTGGTTTCCTTTTAAAGCCAATTCCCACTCCCTTCAGTCTTCCTCTCATGTCCCGATTCACAAGCCCTCACCCAAACAGTCCCTTTGGTGGCCTGAGATTGACACCTGAGGTCTGAAAGCTCTGGTTTTGTACCATGGACTTAGAATAGAGTTCCAAGAGGCTCTTGGAGCACACCATGTATAAGCAGAGTTTTTGTGTCTAAGACGATCTGAGGGAAAATTGGGCAGGTGTGGTAAGGTGGGTGCCCTCTGAAAGCAAGCACACACGAATTCATAAAAAATCACAATGTGCCTTTGTAGGTCTGGCACCCCTGGAAGGAGCTCCGGGCACTGTTACCGGTTTCCAGCAGGTTTATCTCTGGAAAGGTAAGCTCCCCTCAGTGGTACAAGTGGCAGGGCTAGAGACTGGCCGTGCCTGTCCTTCGCTGGGGCACTCTGCTCTCCATAGAGAAGAGGTAGAGATCTGCTTTCTAAGAGAGTGCTCTCCATAACAGGAGGGCCCCACTCCTCATCAGATAAGATACCACACACTAAAAGGAAAATGCACAGTGCAGAAACCCAAGAAAAGTGGGAGGGAGGAAGATCCGGGTTCCTGGGAGACTGAGTTCACTGAATATACATTGCCCAGGTAACCAGGATAGGTGAGTGGGGGCTGTCGCCAACCACAGCAAGAATCTGTCGGAGGATCCCGGGCCTCATGACAGACCCCTCAGGGACAGATCTCCAAGTGGTGCTGTGGAATTTTGCTAAATTTATTCAAATTCCAGTTTGTCTTCGGACCGCCTGAGTAGTCTAGGATAAATTATTTTTCTGGGTCTCAGCTTTCTCAAGAATAATATGGCAATCTGATGCCTCACCTTCACAGCATGCTGCAAACACCAGTATTTATGAATGTTTTCTTACAGCACAGGGCAAATGTTGAGAATTGCAGTCTCAAGGACCATGAGGGTTCTAGGACTGACAGGTGGGCTGACGTTCAGTACAAGGCCATGGTGTGCAGACCTGTGCCTCTGGGTCTGCTCCAGACCTTTGCAGCTCCTGGCTGTGGACCATGAGAACTTCCTGCTTTGTTTCTTCTACTCTTACCAAAGGAAAACCGCTCCTTCTCCTCGATGTTATGTCACACATACTCTTCTGTTCCTCCTAGATTCTGACATGGCATCTCGGCCTGAGTCCATGGGATGCCGAAGCGATGTGGTACTGAGGCCTGAATCTCCAGCAGAGACAGGTATCAGCCCCTAAACATTTGACATCTGGGTGTCTGTGGGGACAAATGGTGGTACCAAGGGTGGAATCGATGAGTGGATCCCTCTACTATTCCCTGCTCACTATTCTCAGCCTCAAATGCCCCTCTAAGTGACACTCCCATTTCACAGCGTGGCAGCCCCTCACGCAGGTGACTGGCACAGACAGGAAGGCAAACTCAGAAATTCACCACCATCACTGGAAACAAAAACAACCATGATAATAAAACTAGGAAAAAAAAATAGGTTGTGCTAAAGAGTAAGGTTCACACGGCTCTGGTCAGTGACTACTTCTTATGTCAGTCTTGAAGAGTAGAAACAAATGTAAACATTCCAAAATTGTTTAACGAACAAGCAAGGTTTTGAAAATGAGTCACGACGTGCAGGGGAAGCCTTTGTGGGACAAAATAGGGGTGACATGCATGGAACGCCTGAGACTTCACCTCTAGAAACTGCAGTTCTTATTGCTGAAGTGGGGCCAAAGTGCAGAGCAGGGGACAGGGGAGAAAGGGGAGAGGGAAGGATGGAGGAGGAGGAGGAGAAGGAGGAGGAGGAGGAGGAGAAGGAGGAGGAGGAGGTGGAGGTGGAGGAGCAGGAGAGAAGAAGAGTGGCTTCCTTTGTGCTGCTGGGACAGGATGCCACAAAACAGACCGGGCAATTTACGGTGAGTAGACAAGGCCTTCTTGCTGTCAGGTCCATGGTGGAAGGCATCAAATAGGTGCAGGAGAGCAGCAAGGAGCTGAACTCCATTTTACTGTGAGCTGGAGGCGTAGCTCAGTGGTAGGGTTCTTGCCTAAAATGAGTAAGGCCCTGGGTTTGATCCCCAGCATTGGGGAGACAGAGACAGACAGACAGACAGACACATGCACACAGAGGGAGGGAGGGAGGGAGAGAGGGGGGCGGGTAGGAGAGGGAGAGGAGAGAGAGACAGAGACAGGAACAAACTGCCCTTGTCACTTACAGACTGTATGGCCACAGGCAGTCTGCTCAAGTGCTAAGAGCCCTGAATTCTTCAGGTGTAAAATGAAAGCTTCTTGCCTTTCTTATCCCAGGAGACCGCAAAACTCCTGTACATTACCTGGTGCCTGACTGGTGACACCAAATGGTAGCTTCTTTCCCTTCCTAAAATTTCTCTACAGGTCAAATGTGATTATATACATTCAGCATACTCATCCCATAGTCGTCAGCGAGCAAGGCTGAGTGCATTCTGTGCCCAGAGTTGCTATGAGCCGAGCACGGTCTTCTATCTAAAGTGAAAGTGCTCAGGCAGAGAGACCAGGTTTGAAGCCCCACTTTGTCTCTATCTGCTCGTGTGAGTGAGCCGGCTCTGAGTGCCAGTGTCTTCTCCTGTGAGGGTCCTGGCGGTAGCCATGTGGCGGGGGAGTTGGGGAGCTAGAAGGGGCGATTTCTTTAAACTGCTGGGATATGGAGCCTGAGCTCACAAGGCAGCGGCTGTCGTATCCACAGGAGCCATTGGTGTTTATGATCCTACTGCAGAGCTTGGTTCAGGCAAGCGTGCGGCTGAGTCCCATCCCGCCCTGCCTGTCTTCCTATCAGCTAGCTGATCCCGATGTGGATGGGCTGTGGGACACAGCTCCTGTCCTTGTCCCGACCTGAGTGCCATTCAGACTTCTTCACTGGAAGCATCAGTTTGGCCTTGAGGGCAGCACCCTACTCAGAGACCCTTTCCCCCTTCTTGCGGTTCTCATCCACACCTCTTCTGTCTCCTTGACTTCCTGGTTTTTGCCAGGGCCGTCAATGGGCACACTCACCTCGCAAGCACAATGCAGTGTGCTTGAGTCTAGGGGTTGTCCCCAACACTTTCCCGTGAAGGACAGATGCTTCAGGGAGGGCTCCCTTCCCCAGCCTCCTGGGCCCCAGCCCTAAGCCATCTCACAACTCTGCTGCTCAGGGTTCCCGTTTTACTAAGGAGAAATGAAGGGCATAAGGTGCCTCCATGTCCCAAGTTTAAGCCAGCCCAGCACCCAGTACACAGCAATGCGAGGATCCAACCAACTGACCTGAATCTGGGGTTTTCTCGAACCCCAGTCAGCCCCTCATGCAGCCAAGGTGGGCACGCGAGCTCAGACCCCAGAGTGGGCTGACACAGCGGGTGTTATTTGTTTAATCTGCAGAGTAGACTTCTAGCTGGCCTTTTTTAAAATAATTGAGCCAATATTTTAAAATTGGGGTTATATGTAAAAATGAACATGCCCTGCCTCTCTAGAGAAAGACAGGAAAAACTCTAATAACACCGATTTCAGATTTCCTCCTGGTGATGGTTCTCTGAGCTGAGCAAGGCTGACCACCCTTTCCATCCTTGTGTGTGTCCAGTGCTCCTTGGCCACCACTGGCACCCTGCAGCCCTGTCCACTTCTTATCCAAGCCTCTGTGTTGTGGCACCCAGCCTGGGCAGAGCCTTTCAGGGGTAACTTTGCAGCTCACAGCAGGGTGGATGTGTGTGAGGTGGGGGCACCTGAGGCGTTTAAAAAATCCACATTAAGCACTGTGCCAGGGCCATAGTGCCAGTGCTGTCCCAGGATCCCCACAGCAGGGTCCCCCCCACCCCTGGAGTGGGAGCTTGGCTCCTGACCAGTGCCTGCATGCAAACAGGGTGAAAAGGAAACACTCCGCTCAGCTTTCCTTTCTCAGCTGGTCACATTCCTGGGACACAGAGGATAAAATGTCCGCAGAAAAAATGCCATTGAGCCCAGGTCAGCTTTTTCAGGCACTCCCACCTGGACTGTGTTTCTTGGAGTCCATGGGAAAGACCTTTGATTCAAAGCACAGAGAGATTTCCCCCTTTCTGCCTCAATTCCCTGTGGTCAGTCTGAGACTGGAGACAAGCAGAGGGAAAGCAGAACGAGCAGCTCCATCTGGCTATCCTAGTCCCGGCCTCTTCCCTGTTAAGGGGAGCACAGAGTTAAAGATAGCACATAGAACACGGGCTCCTAATACAGCATCTGTGCCAGGTACAAGGAGGTACGGAACTACAATATTCACTCTTCTGTTTGAACGATGCTTCTTACCCGTATGTGCTGTGCACTTGGATGTTCACAGTCCAGTCAGATAGCCACATATCAGCCACCACCTGACACTGGCAGGGTGCGAGAAGACAGGTGTGAAGTGGAGTAGGAATGATGGGGAGGGAGAGTGCCAGACAGCCTGGAACAGTCAGGGGAGGCTTCTGAGTGAAGTCCGGATGGATCTGCCAAACACTTCTGGGGCGCAATGGAAGAAGATGTTCCAGGTAACGGTCACTGGGCCGAGACTCCAGGGGCAGGTGTGGTTGAAGGTAAATCGAGTGTCTGTTTCATATTCACACAGAGATAAAGGTAAAGGAATTGACTTTCTTTTTCAGGTTCACCAACAGAACTTTTCTCCCCTGTGGACCTCACCCAGGTCGTTGTCAATGCAAACAGATCCCTGCCCAGTCAGCGGCACTGGCTTTTCAAACACCTGTTTTCAGACGAGCAGGCAAAACTATGGTGCCTTTCTCGTAAGTAGCCTTAGATTATACATGTCAGCTTTCAGATTCTGAGGTTCGGTGTCATACTTAGCTTAACTCCAGAGACACAAATAAGATAGGTCTCAGTGCTATAACTCAGGGGTCACTACATTCTTAGAAAATAGGTAGGACCCAATCCCTATCTTCCAGAAGCTTCCAGACAATGTAGTCATTCAGTCTCTGCTCTGCTCCAGGAGCCTATCAACCCATTATCAGTCCATCTGCCCATCTACTCCTCCACCCATCTTCCTATCTATCCTTCTGTCCATCCATCCATCCATCCATCCATCTGATGAGTTGAATATGCATTTTATTCCAGACCTTGTGTTTGATCTTAGGGATAAAAGACAACAAGAATCAGCCATGCTCTTGCCCTCAAGGTACTCACAATTACCTCTGGCAATGAGTGATGTGGGAGAAGGGGCAAAGAGATCATTCACAGAGTTCACAAGATCTCTGGTTTGCAGATCTTGCCTCTGATATGGTCACTGGTGGATCCAGTAGAATGTTACCCTTTCACTTCTGTATTGCTGAGTTTACTGTCTACCCTTTACTTCAACTTCTACTCTGCCTTTATTTGAGGCCCCACAGCCCCTCCCCGGACAGGAGAATCCCAGACTGGACAACCACAACTCCCCAAAGAAGAACCTCTGTCAGGTTATGCTCCCCCTGTGAGCCTCCTGAGATCTTAAAGCCAACTGTGCTCCTCCTGCAGGCTGCTCCCAGGAGCCCTCTTTCTGTCAGCTCGCAGAGGTAACAGAGAGTACGCCCCTGTACTTCACCTGCTCCCTCTACCCTGAGGCCCAGGTATGTGATGACATCCTGGAGTCCAGTGCCCGGGGCTGCAGTCTGGTCCTGCCACAGCAGCCAGGGACCCTGTTCTGGAAGAAAGGTGAGTCCCCAGGTGTCTGTGCACACTGGGTTTCTGGTGGGAGGCAGCTCTGCGGTTTCAGAAGCATCCAGGATTGTTTCTCCTTTAAATGCACTCAGAAGTGCATAGCCGATCCTGGAGACCACTCCTGCTCTAGAGCCTCATCCATAGAGAGAGCCATGGCCAGTGCACTTGTCACCTGGAACCCCATGAGGCCATGCGGTGCAGCGGGTCTTGGCCTCTGTGACTGTAACACCACAAAGGCTGTGTTTCTCGAGTCAAGAGCACTAACGATGCTGTAGTTTGTGTTCTTTTTTCACCCCTTGTGTCTGTCTTTCCCTCAGACATTGCTGCCCTTAGCATCCTCCATTACCTTCTTTGCTCTTACCGTGTATCTGATGGCCCTAGGTTTTCCACGCAAATGAGTCAGGCCCACAAGGTCAAGCAGAAGCTTTGACTGGTGAAAGCTTGCTGGTTTTAGAACAACCGGACTGGGCCAAGCTTCAGGTGATCGCTCAATGTCAACATTTTTTGGTCCTTGCTTTAGATGAATCTTTGAATACCTTCTGAGAGCATATGCCTGGCCTCCAGTCATCCGGACCCCATATAAGGTTGGAGAAGGTGGGGAGTCTCAGCGGTTACTATGGAGACTGACAGAAAAGGACCATCTGTAGTGCATCCCATCCACTCTCCAGGGCAGGCAGAGACCTCTCTTATGTCCTCTCCAGGAATAAGGCTTTTGTATTCTTCTTCCATGCTTGTCATTTGGGGAAACAGAGAAGCACCTGGAGACCTCGGTCTTCTGAAGGAGATCCGTGGCTCATCTACTGCTCAGGCTTCTTTCTCCCTTCAGTGCTGCTGATGCTTGAACCTTCTGAGAGCCAGGGATGCATGGGCTTGCTTCTTGGTTTTCCCCACAGAAATTAGGGTCTGTTTTCTTAGGTCCGTGAAACCATGTTTTACCCTCTGTATGTTTTCTAGCTCCACAGAGTGTATAACTATAACCCCTCCCCTATTCTCTCCACCTTGGGGTGCTTATGCCTTCACAGGCATCCCAGCTGTTATTTTACTGAGATTTGGGTTGGGAGTGAGAGTCAACATACGAATTTAATGCTCCATCTTTAATGAAAGCTTTCAGGCTGGCTTCTACTCATCAGTACTCAGGTTTTCACAGGGACAATCAATTTCTCTCTGAGCAATAACATCTCTTTCTTCTTCTTTGCAGTCGTACTGAACAACAGAGTAAAGAACTTTTACACTCGCCTGCCATTCCAGAAGCTGGCAGGGATTTCCATTAGAAACAAAGTGCCCATGTCTGACAAACCCATTTCCAATGGGTAAGCAACCTCGGCCCTACACTTAATGTTTATTATTAAAACTCTTTCGCATCTGTGACATGGGTGAAGCTGTAGCAGTTAAAGATGGAAGCCTAATAACAACCGCACAGCCCAAAGCTAAGTGAAACAAAGGCAATGAGGAGGTGGCCACACCAAGTTTATCTCTGAAGCTTTAGTCAGACGATGGAAAAGAGACCCACTGAGCTGTGTCTTGTCAATTAATCAAAGTTATCAAGCATGGCAATGAACCAGGCCCTCAGAACCTCATGGGACTGTATTCAGAATCTGGACCACAAGTAGAACTTTTAACAGAGCCATAAGCTTGGAAGGGCTTTTTATTCTATTGTTGTTTCAGAAATTTATTTTATTGTCTATTTGGTGCATGGTTTAGCTGCTCTAGTTGGCAGTGAGATTTTGCTCAGTGTAATGGATGGATCCCACCCATCACAGTCACCAGGTGGGCTTGTTATCAGCCTCTGTCCTGGGGCCCATCCTGAACAACTAACTCAGCCTTCCTGGGATGGGCTCAAGAACTGGAATTTTAAGGAAGATCCCTAGTGACTCTTTTGACTTTTTTTACTAGTATGTGTTTGCAGTACATGAAGTTTACTTTCATTTTAGGGAGGTGGAACATGTGTATAACACAAGTTGATGCTTTTTTGGTCTCCTTCCCCTTCCTACCTCCCTCCCTCCACCCATCTCTTTCCCCATTTTCATCCTTATCATTATTGTTTTTAGTTCATGGCATGTTTACATTCATTGTGTGCATTTGGTACACGTAAAAGCACCTCTTAAATCTTTTTACTCAGTCGTTGATCTGCGAACTATTGATCTATGAGGTACTATTGAGTTGTGAAGTACAGGTTGCTGGCATTTAACATCTGCTTTTGAAAATGGAGATAAAATGATGATGCAGGCGAGTCTGTCTTGGGGTCCAGCTAGACATCACCTGTGCTGACAGAGGGTTGGAGCCAGGGATCAGCTGGGATAGGAGCTGGTGGAGTGGAGTTAGGGTACCCAACTCAGGCAAGCATGGAAATCCAGTGATCAAAGCTGAGGTGTAGCAATGTAATTCCAAGAAAAGAAAGAGAAGTGGCAGGTGGACAGATGGGCAGAGACTTGGGGAAGGAAAGCCAGGGAGGTGGCTCCTTGCTGTTAGGGCACAGATGCAGCCAGCACTGCCCAGCAGATAAGACCTTGAAACACTAGGATGTGACTTGGCTCACAGAAAAGCCATAGTAAAAACGTGGCAGGTCCACACATCAAAAGGGGACAAAGAGGCTGAGTAAGCTCTCAGGAATCAGATTGAGACACATGGTCAGGACAGGGACAACTTGAAATGGAACTTCAGAGCACTGGTTGGAGCCATGAAGTTCCTCCTACTATTACTGGTTCTGGACACCAAAGGGTGGGTCTGGTTAGCTGCACTGAGTGGACAGCAAGGTAGGTACCATGGAGAAAGCCTAGTGGGATGAGCCAGACAACAGACGCATCCTCATGGAATGTGATTAGTTCATGTCGCAGAGTAGAGGGGAAGCCAAGGAGAGAGACACAACTCAGCTCTTTGCTGCTTAAACGGGCTCCCAGAGGGTCACCCTGACTGTAGGACATGGACCACCACCCCACCATGTAGAGATGCTTTTTTTGCTGTGTCTTCCTTTTCCCAGAGTCCAGAGCTGAGACTTCCTCCTTGTCTGAGAAGACTATAGGAGCATTTCAGAAAACCTGACTTGGAGCCTAGTGTGTAACAGGCACAGAAAGTGTGCTTGATGAATGAATGAAGGATGGCAAGGCAGCATTCTCTGGAAAAGAGAACTCTGCTTTCAGAAAGATTCTCAAAGCTAGGAGTCCCCTCATACACATTGGCCAGAGCGCCCACACTGTAGGCAGTTAAAACAAAGCTGACCTCCAAAAGTAAGGGTGATGCCCATTCATCCCACTAAGTCAGTGCTAGGCCCCACCGAAGCCCTCAGACCGGCCCTCTCTCTCCTGATCCAGGTTCTTTGAATGTGAACGTCTGTGTGACTTGGACCCGTGCTGCACCGGCTTTGGATTTCTAAATGTGTCCCAGTTAAAAGGTATTAATAATAACAAGGCCTTCCCCCCTTGCACAGCACTCTGCAGGCTAGAAGACACGCACACTTGTGACCCATCTCACGCTCAGAGCCTCTGTGAGTGAGGGAAAGGAGGGATCCTCATTCATAAGGTGGAGGCTCAGAGAGGGCAGGGCGCTCATCAGTGCGGCAGATGGATGTGACTCCCAACCTGGGGACCTGTTGACCTTACACACGTGTTATTGCTGTTTGCCCCACATAGCCTTTCTGCCTTCCGCACTTCGCTCAGCAGTGTTCATCTCATCTTGCAGCACTGTCAGGTGGCTTGGTGGTGGAGTGGACTTTGGAAACAGTCCATGCAATCTGTATTTAAAACCTGGTTCAGGTAGGGGTGGGACTCAGTTGGAGAGTGCTTGCTTGGCACATGCAAAGCCCTGAGTTTGAGCTCCAGCACCAAAAAACAAACAAACAAACAAAACCCCCAGAAACTTGGTGGAGAGACTTACTGGTGATGTGGTTCTAGCTCAGTCACTTACCTTGCCCCGAGGCTTAGCTCTCCCACCCGTAAGTGCACAACCTTTCTGCATCCTGTGAGGACCAAGTGAAGTGCTGCAAGCAGGGCCTGGCACAACTCTGGCATAGTAGACAGGTGCTCAGTCAGCGGCAGGTGCCTCCATCCCTGAGCCCCTAGGCCAGAGGCTCCGCATCTGAGGCCAGGATCCTCCCAGAAAGCAGTGGCGAACCTCAGATGTCTGCTGAACACAGATTTATAGTGTTTCCCTAACATCTGAGGCCAGAGGCTCCACATCCTCCCAGAAAGCAGTGGCGAACCTCAGATGTCTGCTGAACACAGATTTATAGTGTTTCCCTAACTCAGAATCCACTCTCTTCCTCCACATCCTGGTCTCTGCTATGTGTTTCCCAGGAGGAGAGGTGACGTGTCTAACCCTGAGCAGCATGGGAGTTCAGATGTGCAGTGAGGAAGCTGGGGGAGCCTGGCGCATCTTGGACTGTGGTTCTCCTGACACGGAAGTCCGCACCTACCCCTTTGGGTGGTACCAGAAGCCGAGTAAGTAACCTGGTGGCTCTGTTGGTGTCTTTAGTACACCATGTCCCACCCACACAGTGTCCTCAGGTTGGGAAGTAGATGGATCAGAATTCACTGGATGCAAGCAATAGACACTGATTCTCTGTACTGCCAGCAGAACAGAAATGGATTGGGAGTCTGCTCATTGTATCAAAGGAAAGAGGACTAGCTAGATCCTAGGAAAGATGGAGAGGGAGCAGGCTCCACAGATGCACTTAAGAAGAACAAGTGGCCCAGTTCATCGGTGCATCACAGTCATCACTGATCTGCTCCTGAGGGACCACTTGTTATATTAAAGCTTTAATTCAAGGGACAGAGTTTGGTACAGCATGAGATGATTGTACCCACTGCCAGAAGGAGGGTATGGTGTTGGAGTCATGGTGCCAATAAGCTCGGATGCTGAGGGGGGAGGGGAAGTAGCCCAAAGTGTGTGTAAGGTCTTGTTGCTGGACAGGCAACAACCTTAATCAGGGGAGCTAATTAGGAAAGCGTGACACATAGCAATCTTAGGGAAGGAAACGGTGACAACCTATTTGTGTTTGTCAGTGCAAGTGCAGTTAGAACTTTAGGAGCAAGGCAGCATTGGACCACTGTGGGTCCTCAGGGCATGTGAACAGAAGGGGTGGAGGGTGTATGGAGCTTGGTTTGAAATTGATGCATGAGCAAATGAATGCAGACACTACTAGTCACACACAAGGAGCCATTAGTGTCTCTGCATCCATGGTGGGTTTGCCTTCAGGAAAGTCACAGTACTTGTCAGTTTCTCCTTCAGTGAAACAGTGAATGAGACTCACTGTAGTGCTCTCACCTCTTACATTCTGGGTTCTTGTGGGAAACTAGAGATTTGCCTGTGTCCCAGAATCAAACTCAGCAATCTGTCATGGTCCCCATAAGCTTGAAAACCCTGTCTCGGGAGGAGTCAACCAGAAAGGCCAAGCAGAGAGTCAGTCTCTCTCCAAGCTATCTCCCCAGCTAGCTTTCATGTCTCACTTTGAGAGAAAGTCTGAAATTTCCCCATCTTTCCTGGAACTTCCTGAGAAGTAAGAGCCAAGGGATGTCTGATCTGAAGGCAGCATAGAGATACGTAACTGTAGACTCCACATTCTTCACACCGTCCCTTCACATTACTCTGCCCAGAGCAGGGAGTGACTTTTCAGTGCTTTCTGGGTGTCAGACACTCGCTAGACCTGCCTGGACTACTTCAGTTCATACCCAACGCACTCCTACAGAGCTGACACAGCCTGCTCCATGCCATACATGAACTGTGAAGCATAGAATGTTAGATGTGCTCAACCCTAGCCACACAGCCTGTATGAAGTAGAGACAAACTGCAAGCCCAAATCTGATGGCCCCAACTTTCTCCTCCCCTCTTGGATGTTAGCTCACTTCCGGCAGGCCTTCGAGTGAGTGGGTAGTAGAAACCCCAGACGTCTTGTCTGGCTGGTTTCCCCCAACTCAGTTGACTAACCAGAAACTGACTAATCAACTGGAGGAGAAGATCAGCAGGCTGGCAAGCCAGCCTGTTCATAGTTTGGCCTCCGTTGTGGAACTGGAAGGCAGAGCTTGGACTCCCAGGCAGCAGCATCCTTGGCCTTGCTTGTGACCCTGTGCATGCCTCAACTTCACAGCAGATTTTTCTTTTTTGGACTTAATTATTTCCAGGCCAAATAGAATTTTCCTGCTGATATTTACCTTCAGCAGCCTGTGATTTGGTTTGAATTCACCCGACTGACTTTTTCTTTTATTTCAACATCTTGAATTATTTTAGGAAAAACTTCAGAGTGATATAATGAAACAGCCTCCACTACCCATATCTAGCAGTCTTCTGGATTTGTGTTTCAGGGCAGGGAGGAGGGAATGCTTTCCTATAACTCCCAGCCTCGGTGGACACCAAAGGCCAGTTCTGAGCCTCCTGCCCATCTGTCTGTCCTGTTACCTCCTCACCCTACTAAAGTGAAAAATTTCCTTTTTCATCTTCATATGACTCATGGAAGACTTGGGTAAAATGTTTAAGCAGAAGTTCATTTGTTCAGAAATATAATGGAAATCAGATCAGAGTTATGACATCTTGACAGGAGTTGGCAAGGAAAATAATCCAAGGTGCTTCTTATCCGAACTCACTCCAGCTGTTTTGCTTTGTTTTATCTGATTGTTCAGACCACTGACTGCTTCCTGCCTATACTCTGTGGGGTCAGGCTAGGGTCTCAGGAGTTTGGATTGGGAACTACAGGGCAGGGAATTAAAACTCAGAGACAGAAGTTCTCACTTTCAACAAACATGGCCGAACACTAGCCATGGAGGGAACTTCCATGCATTGGGCTTTCAGGGTGTGGATGCCAAGCACTTCACAAGTGTGATCTCATTTAAACTTTGCACTATGTCAGATGAGAAAGTAGAGGCCCCAGGAAGTTACCTCATTTGGTCAAGGCCACATGGCAGGCAAGTGAGAGTTAGATTGGGTCTATGGCCTTTCTGATTTTAAGTCACTGTGTTATATTGCTGAGTGTGGATAAATCATGATTCCTGTCCCTTAGGCACTTACAGTCTGAGGAGTTACAACTCTTAAGTAAATAACCCAACCCTAAATAATCAACCCATCCTGTTTGTGAGTCTCTCATAACATAAGGCTAGAAGCTTAGAAACTTGGTTGGGCATTTAGAGTGGGTTTCATAGCACTGAGAAATGGGAAAGTAATAAAATACAGGGATGCTATTCAGATACTCACACCTAGAGAGGAGATACAGCAGCATATATGAGTAACCGTAACAGAGCTTTCTTATGGAAACTGGCCTAATAAGTCAGAGTATTCCCCCACCTGGGTCATGCTGACCAGCACAAAACCATCTTTTGAATTCATGATGTGTCTTGAGCCAAAGCATCTTCCCTGGTGGGGTTCTGCATATTGTACATTCTTGGGTTCTCTTTTCTTTCATAAACAAAACCACATCAGCATCCTTTTGGGTCATCCTAACACATAGCTGACATGGTTGTCACCTTTTCTCCTCATCCTTGTCTTTGTATTAGCCAATCACATGCGAAACGGTACAGAAAGGTCTCCATGGGGAAGGGAAACCTGTCTAGAAGGGGAGCCTCTGGGCCTTAGTTAGCCCTGAGGGGTGGGTGGGATTCTGGGGCACCTCTCCTTCAGCACTCACACATGACACATGAGCTTTGCCAAGCAATGCTAGTGAAGAATATTGATGATAGACTTTGGCCGTGTTTGGCCTAGTCTGATTATTGAGCATATAAATATCTCTAGCTGCTGAAAACTGTGAGCTGTTGACACTGCACCCCCTTCTGCTGAGGGCAAGAAAGTAGCCTTCTCTAAGCTCCTAATGTGTGCTGAATGCCGTGCAGCCAGAGGGGGAGAAGTCCTTACTCCCCACAGTTGACGGTCTGGTTAAGGGGAGGATGTGAAGGAAAAGCCCCTTTCTGAAGCCCTTCCTATGTGTCAGACACAGGCAGTGCTTTCTTTTATCCACTTACACCCTCTTGGAGGTGGGTGCCCTTCCCATCCAGAGCCAAGACAACAGTTGTTACCTCTGTGACCAGGCAGCCCCAGGGAGGTGACTGGGCCCGCTGGAGGGAGAGGAGGTGCCTTCGGAGGTGGAAAGGGGATCCAAGAACGTTGGTCCTTCATGGACTATGCTGACCTGCTCAAGTTGTCACCAGATGGGGTCCAAGAAGATCCTCTCAGAGGGGAGGAGGGGACGTCAACTTGATGACTGACAGGTCCTGGACGTCTTGTTCTAGAAAAGCACTTTAAGATGTGTCAGTAACAGACATAGGTTGATTTATTAGATGGAGTTAGAAAATAAGAGAAAATGGGAAGGGACTTGAGCTCAGGAAGCCGAAGGGGACACAGTTCTGATGGAGAAGATCAGATCGGTCCTTTAACAAAGGAAAGAGGCAGGTTTTTGTAGAGGGACAGAAGGGCTATGGTCTGGTGGGTCATTTTCTCAGGTCAGAGTTTACAAGCTGGCTCTGGAGAAGTCTCTATTGCTTGAAGCAGCAATCCAGAGATGAAATCCTGGAGATGAAATGGTTGTTTCTGCTCGGGGTGGTCTCAGTGTCACTCAGGCTCTGCTGGGATCAAGATGACTGTGTATGTAGGACAATGGCAGGAGCTTTTCAAACTCCCATGGGTAGTTAAATAGCCCTGGAAAATGCTTATCTTAGTGTCTTCAGTCTTGAAGCAGATATAGGTAAATTCTAATTTTCAGACAGACACCCTGTGGATGAGGCACATGCCGTGTGCAGAGCTGAGCAAGCATCTGGTCCAAAGTTACTCACTGGGCATCTGTAGGCCCAAGTGAAGAGTCACTTAAAAAAAATAAAATAAAGTCCCTGATGGCCTCACAAGCAAACACAAATAGAGCTTTTAATGTATCATAGGTTAAGGGCCCAGTGTTGGACCTGCCCTTTCTCAATTAGGGGTCTCTGACTGTCTCAAAATGACTTCAGGGCAGAACTGGCCTGAGTTAAAGGACTGATGTGAAGGAGCAGAGTGTCCACTGCTTATGGTAGACACTTGGATTCAAGGACGAGGGAGGCATGTTCCTGCCTCTCAGGCCTCAGGCCTTGGCACAGAGGTCCACACATCTGCCATTACACCCTAACCTTTGTCCCATGGCTGTGTTCGCAGAGTAATGGGTGAGGCTCCTAAGGGTCCAGGAGAAAAAGGCCCAAACCCAGAACAGAGCCAGAACCAAGAGGGACCCCCAGAGAATTTTGGTGATGAAATCTGAAGTTACTGCCCTCAGGTGAACAAAAAGCTGTGTGTGTCTTAGCACAGAACTGCAGAGGCTAAGGCTACACAATTGTGGATGGAAATGAGGACCCAGAAGGGAAAGGTTCCTGGAGCCCAGAGGACCAGGGTGAGAGTGCAGGTGCTCAAGCTACTCTTCTGTAGCTAAGCAGAGCCAGAGCCTGGGGCTTCCTGGAAGGGGTGCAGGCACTGGCTGTCTTTACTCTCGAAGAGAACCACAACTGCTTCTCCTGTTTGCAGCTAGATGAGGCCTGTGAGTGGAACGAGGCCTTTGCTTTGTTCAGAGTCCAGTGGGACTTCTAAGAAAACAGTCAAAGCCATACAGTTTCTCTCTTTACTGAAGAGAAAGGAGAAGGTCATTCCTGTCTGCATGTTTCTGACTTCGTTCTTTTTTTTTATTTCATCTGTTTAGTAACAGTTGCATGTGAGAGTTCTTTATTCCTACGTGTTTTCAATGGCTTCTCCTTATATTTGCCCTGTGTGGGAAGATGTCTTTTCTTTTCTCAAGCTTTGTTCCAATGTTAGCCCGGTGATCACCACTTTGCTGGGCTCAGTGCCCACGTGGCAGCTGTGCCATTCGTGTTTTCCTGCTGCAACTGCTCAGCCTACATGGCCTATTTCTCCTGTAAACCTGGGCGGCTCTGCAGATCCTCTGGATTTCACAGCATCCTCCTACAACCTGAGCCTTGCAGTCCTTTCAAAGAGGTGTAGGTGGTATGTTCCGCTTCGGTCTCAGCTATCTGCAAAGGGAGGAAGACATTGTCTCCGGTGGGTAAGGGAAGGTACACACGTCCACGCCTTTCGCAGCTCTCACTTCTGTCTAAAGCACGAATGGGTTGAACTTCATTTGGGCTGCTGTGACTTCACTGATGCCCACAAAAGGGAATCGGTCTGCCCCACTGCATTCTTAGATCATCCTCCTCCTGCCAGGGCTACGCCTGAGTACAAAAGAGGTTAGACGAACCTTTGTGACTGTGCACTGCCTCTCTTTGGAATCTTAAGTTCAAATGCAGGTCTTCCCACCTCCAAAGTCCATGTGTCCCTACATTTGCCATTAACAGCTGTCATCGTCCGAGCTCTTCTGCAGGGCGCAGTGCTAAATGTCATACCAGTCACTGCTAGGGTAGACAGCCCTGTGCCCACTGTGCAGCCATGGAAACTGAAGCTGGAGAGGTTAAATGCTTTGCCCAGTGTATGGAGCCAGTCGTGATGGTGGCAGGCAATGGCAGGATTTGCTGTGTGCGTCCGGCTTCCCACTCTGGGGCGTGATGGGCCACGCTTCTCCATCCTGACCAGCTACTGGCCGATGACCTGTGAGGGAGTAGTGTGTGTCACTGCTACACTGAGCTCTACTTGCTGCCTCCTCTTTGCCCCAATGGTGATGGGTAAGGCCTGGGGGCGACATGGGGCCTCCTTCAGCCTAGACCTTGAGGAAAGTGACACAAAGCCATCCCTCACCCCTGCTTCGGGATATGGTGCAGCAGGGGGGCTGTGCTGGCCTGTGGGGCTGGTGCCACCATGTGCCCCCTAGAGTCTGACTCCCTCCCCCCCGCCATCCTGCCCTGGGCACCACTGAGGTCTTCAGAACCGGTGATGAGGACTTGTGAAAATGAGCTAAAAGGCTGCATGTTCTGCTTCACAGGTGCTCAGAGCGACGCCCCCAGTTTCTGCCCTCCGGCTGCTCTCCCTGCCCGCACCCAGAAGGGTAAGTCCATCGTTTTCCTGCCTCTCTCAGCACAGCCCTGGCTTATGCTCTCACACTCACAAGCTCCTGTGGGATGTGCGTGTAGGTAGGGGGTCGCATGCCAGTGATGCACACGCTGCAGAGAGGGGCCGACTCTGTGGTTTCCACACATAGTGCAGCTAAGCCAGCCACAGTGGGGGTGAGCTCAGCGCCCCCCTCCTTTCCACTATAGGGATTGCTTCACCTTACCAGGCAGGGCCAGGCCTGTACCATCCTGGGCAGTGTCAGCACGGTGGTGTACGTGGCCACAAAGCGAAGGAGGGCAACTCTACCTTCGAATGGAGCAGCTGGGGCTCCTGGCTCCTGGGTCCAGTGGGTGACGTTGAGGGCTGAGGCACTGGCCGTGTACCCCGCAAGGCAGAGCCCACAGCCTGCTTAGGGAGTGGCCGTCCCTTCTCCTGCACATTGGCCGCAGCACTCAGGCTGGCTGCTGGATGTTCTCAGAATGGCCATGAGGTATGGGCGTGGCAGTGTGGGAGCAAGGGCAGCCCGCGTAGTGGGCCTGGTGACGTGGAAGCCACAGGGCCAGTCCAGGCCTCACGGTACTGCCCCCTCTCCTGACTCCATCTATGACACCACTCAGCCCAGAGGCCACATGACATTAATTCCTGGCCTGTGACGTGGTCTCCGAGGGGCCCCAGACACCTGTCATTATGGCCTTACCACAGAACCGAATGTAGCTCATGGGGGAAGGAGTTGCTTCACAGCAAGGGTGTGGCTCAAAGTCTAAATTTTCCTCAGCACATGATGTAAAGCTTGCTTTGCCCACAGTTAAAATACCTCATCTTGGAGGTCCCGTGTACAGTACATGTGTGATTTTGTTCCCCCGACCATGTGTGTGGCATGTACGGCCAGGCCCCACCTGCTGAAATGGCATGAGGCGGGTGTCACCATAGCACCTTGTGAGTGGCAGAGGCTCAGGCTCCTCCTCAGAGGGAGGTTAGGACTCCTCTGGCCCAAGACACCACCTGTCTGAGGCAGACCTCAGCCAAAACCGATTCTGCTTTATCAAGGTGATATATATATATATAAGTACAGATGACATAGTCAAAATGTCCCAAGAGATTCATAGCTAAGGAGAACAAAACCCCACCGAACCCCATTCCTGGCTCACTGTACCCACCTGTCCTTCACACGGCAAAGACCGTGACTGTCTGCGGTGTGGTGTGAGTGGCTCTCTTCTCACCCTGCCTTCCACGTGCCTGAGTCCTGCACAGATCTCCTAGTGCTGCCTCTTGATCTGTTAGTTATGGCGGGGTCCATGGAGTGCCCACTGCGGGCATTTCCACATCAAAAACTATTTTCCCACTCCCACTGTTCTCTTTCCTTCTCCCTTTTCTTCCTCCTTACTATCATCGTGGGTTTGAGCTTTGTATTCCTTGGCTCCATTTTGCACGGTTGACAGGGAGAGTAGATAAGTGCACTAATTATGAGCCATAGTACTGTGCTTTTCAAAACTTCCAAACATTTAATGGTGACTTGCTTTTTCGTCAGCACTGTGCTATGCGTCTCCACACAGACCTCAGGAGACAAGTCTTGTTACAGTATTTGTTAGCTGTAGAGAACAAAAACAATGCAGAAAGGCAGAAGGGAAACCACAAAGGTGCTGGGGGTTGGTTTGTGCGTGGGAAGGTGCATTTCCTTCCAGCCCTGGGCTGTGCAGTGCGGTCTGACCTTGCTGTGATCTGTTTATAATGGTGCATTATGTGTGCACTTCCGAATTTCCTGCCTCGCTAAGTCATGTGTTCGTCCTGCACCATGTATGACTCCTCTCACTTATCCATGCCTCCTTGGTGCTGCTTTTGTGATGCTTCTGGTCCGTGATGAGCAGACCGGTGAGGCCGATGCAGAGCTCACAGTGAGGACCATCAGGCTACTCCACTACTTCACCAACCCAGCCCTCTGCTTTTGGATGTTTGATTTTTTTTCTAATGATTCTTCTGCATCATAAAAATACCATGCCAGATGAATACCTTGGTACCTAACACTCCTTCTGAGGTCAGGATTGTTTCCTGGGTAGATCTCCAAAGCGCATTTCAAATTTTGGGGTTTTGAAAAATGTTTATTGCAAGATTCTAGACATATTGTCAAATTGGGTTCAAGCAGGTGTGTTTTCCGAGCGATGATGAATGAAAGTGCTTTCTTTTTCCCCATCACAAGTCTGCCATCTTTAAGTAATCATCGCTAAAGCAAACAAACAAAAAGTTTAATTTATAGATATAAGAGTGCTTTGATACATATATGTTAAATACTTATTGTCAAAGATGTATAAACTGATGTGTAAATATTTTCGGATGATTTTATGTCCCACTCTATTTTTACCAAACATTCACATCATGGAGAGAGATTTCAAGTGACAATAGAAGAAAAATCTAAGCTCAAGTAGTGAGCACCTCCCTTTACACACAGCCATGGATCTGAGTAGTTGTCTCCAAGACACAGTTAGATGTCACAGTATTTTTAAATGTGCCTTTAACATGGGTGATTTAAAGGCAGGAGCAAGGTCAGCGCCGACAGTGCATCTGCACTGAGAGCTCCCAAGAAATAGTGATTTCAAGGCCAGCCTGAACTACATAGCAAGACCCTGTCTCAAAAACAAAACAGTGTGAGGCCAAGGAGCTGGCCTTACATCCAGTGCATCCCTGCCTGACGTTCTCCAGCCTCTGCCCACCCTGCAAGGCCCTGGCTCCTCACTCCCAGCACCACAGCCCCACCAGGATTCACCACCCCAAAGCCAGGCCTAAAGATGAGGAAAGGGCTCTTTCCCAGCCTGGATTGGCCTGGCCTGAGCTAACCACCACAAGCCCAAAGGACACGATTTGTACCTTATTTTATTTCCTGCAGTCTCTGATAAAGTAAAAAGGAACTGAGAAAGTAGCTCACACTGAGATGAAAATGTAGCTCTTTTTATAAGATGTGTTTTCCAGGGAGTATTCACATTTTAAAGAGTGGGCAACCAGAAAAATTTTGCTTTCTAAGAATAGAAATGCAGACCATTTGATAAACCTTGAGGGACTAATCCCACCCCCTCAGACCACCTTCCCCATGCATTAGACCATCCTAGAACTTAGTATGTGAATAGATTTCCTCTACATCTATACGTTGGGATTACAGCTGTTGATCAAAAACAATGATAATATGCTACAAGTAGCCCAGTGCCACACGACTAAACAGTGACCCTTGGATCCTCCGCTCCCTCCATTGCACACACACGTGTGTAAGACTAAAGTCCCTTAGCACAATCCCAACAGCCACTGACGACACTTCCACAGCGGGGTTCCTCTGCCTGGAGTGGCTGGAGAGGTGCACACACAGTGTCCGCCTGCCTGTCCAGCTCCGCCACCTGTGTGGGCTCCGGCAGTCACCAGGTCCACTGATGCCCCTGTGCCACATACCAAGGGGCCTCCGAGATGCCAGGACTGCAGTGAGCGGCAAATGCCGGCCCTTCACATGCATCCGGGTCTCTGCCCAGCTGCCCAGGATTATACACCATAGCCCCAAAAGAGAGTTCAGACACCCCAAGGAAACCCATTATCACGCTGTCTCCTGGCAGCCTTTGTTTTAGGGACATCTGGGGGGCTCTTGATAGGAATCAGAGGGAAGGCAGGCTCAAGCAGGGCCTTTGACTGTCCACTAGGCAGTTATGAACTGTAATTTGTCATGAAGATATGGTGAGGGGGGTAGAAATCCTTATGGTTTTCTCTTAGGTATAAATTCCCCTAGAAGTGTCTTTGAAGTCAGCAGCCCCCAGACACAATTAGGCAGAAGTGGGTGAGCCCACAAGCACCTGACCCAGCAGTTGTTGGGCCACTGCAGATGTTGTCAGGAACTTCTGCTGCAGCGGGCATGCCACCAAAGAGACAGCTGGGAGCCTGGGGGACTGGGAGGGGGTGGTACGGGGTCAAAGACTTCCCTCAGCTCTCACCAATTCTCCAGGACCTATCATAACAGCATGTGAGGATGCTGCTAGGAGTAGAAGTGGCAGACGGATTATAGATACCATTTATTAAGTGCCACTGTTTGCTAAACAGGAAGCATAATATCCCTGTTTTCCACAAACTGCCTAATCCAGGTATTGGATGAATTAAGCTTCTCAGTTAATCAAGGAACAGTGGATCCCACTTCTTTTCTCCATCTCTACAAGAATTAAAATGGTAACTACTTGCATACCAGAATACCTTGATAATGATTGAATAAATTAATTTGTTGATTAAGTAGTCACAGGGAAGCCAAGGGTGGTCGGTTGTATAATACTTTATTTCATGTTGCACCTTCCAGTTTACAGAACACTTTCATTTCCATTGCAAGAGCAAGGCTCCGAGTTGCCACTAGTGTGCCATGGTCCCAGCCTGTGACTTCTGTATTGCATAAATCAAAATGTCGCACTGTAGCAAATAAACACATGCAACAAACAAAGACAAGCTTTTAGCAAAGGTGCATGTGTATTGGGAGGGAGCAGAAGCAATTGGCATCATCCACTCCCTGCACAGTTATGTGGTGACCAAGCGGCGGGACTCCGCCCAGCTGCTTGCTCTTTGCTGCCTCGTCCGCCTTCCTTCCTCTCTGCCATCCCCTCAGTAACTGCGTTTTGCAGGGGGACACCACGCACGACATGACACTGTCCTGAGTTCAGACACCAACCTGCTGCCTGCCAGATGTGTGGCATTGCACAAGAAAGCAGCCCTCTCTGAGCCTCACTTTCCTCCTCTGGGAATCAGGAATGATATCCTTCATCTCAGGAAAGAATTGTGAAATGGAATCAGACAACCTTCATATAAGTTTTCAAGCACTCATGCTGGCCTGACAGAAAGTAGCACTTGTCACTAGTGCATCTGCTCACAGAAGGAACGGGCCACTTGACGTTAGGGTGTCTCTAGAGCCGTTGCTTCCCTGCTAATGCATAGGACAGGGCCTTGGCTCCCACAGCACAGAGGCTTAGAACACGGTGTAAACTTCTGCATTTGTTGGTAATGAATGCAAGAGTTGCCGCAGCAGTGAGGCCGGGGCGAGGAGTCCTGTGCTGGGGAGGCTGGCCTGGCACTGGCTGGGGAGGCCATCCTGGACCACAGCACAACAAGTGGGAGAAGCAGTCACTGTGAGTACTGCAGGAGGCTGCTCCCAGATTCTGTGACGTTGAGGGAGGCCTCTGTAATCTTGGGGTGCCCTGTTTCCTCCCAGTGCTTCGGTACCCCACTTACTGGAAGGAGGATGGATCCGAGTTAATGTAGCTAAATCAGGTGACAACTAAATCCACAGCTGTTTCCATTTCTTAATTGGGCCTGGTAAGCAATGCCCACCTGTGGAACTGGGAGAGTCTGGAAGCAGCTGGAGACCCAGTGATGCCCCCCTGCTGACCACAGCCTTGCCTGGTTCCCTGATGCTGCTGGGTGGCGATGCTGTCGTCAGCTTTGGGTTTTCAGGAGGGCCACAGTGTGGGGATGACCCAGGAGAGGCGGAGGCTGGGCAGAGTCTTGGTGGTGAGCAGGGAAAAGTGGATGAGGCCTGAGCAGTATGGAAAGAAAGGACGGGTCGAGGCCAGCTGGGGAGCTGGGTGTCACAGGGGAGCTGACAGGCAAAGATGAGGAGCAGCTCTAATTTCTTCTTTTCCTCTGGGGGAAATCGTCTTTGGCTGCCAGGTATAGACCCTGATGAAGGAGGCCAGTAAAGAGTTGTTGAATGAACTGCTGAATGAAAAAGCAAATACATAACGATTAGATTAGTTAATTCAGAGGGGTCTCACTCACATGAGTGCTCCCTGAGGCAGGCCACTGCTAATCTGGAATGTGATTGCTAATCCCATTTTCAGAGGACTCATGGTGAGAAGCCCATATTTCACCCCTGCTGAGAGTCCTCTTGCTGTTGATTCGGTGTGAGCTGTTCTGTTAGAAAATGTCAGCGCACAAGTGGAGAGCTCTCCCTTATGCCGATGGTGACCATTTGAAAAATATAATAGGGGGAAAATATTCCATTTTTAATGGTATTGAGTATTAAACATCCCCAAATTCAAATTAACGCAACAGAGTAATGTTTAACTTTGAGATCATTCCAGACGCTTAGCTTGACAGACTGGGCAACATAGTTTTCAATTTTGTCCAAAAGAATAAAGAGCTGAGAAAATACTGAATAAAACAAAGTAGTGTGGGAAGACTTTTATCATCACATGATGAGGTAAGTTATAAAGTGACTTCAGCAGAAGGCGTGCAAGGGTGGATTCAGAGTTTACAAAAAGAGGAGTGTATGAAGCGTTTACGCACCAGAGCAGATCCACTCATGGAAATATTTAATATACGAGAGCAGACATTTCTGATTTATAAGATTACCTTTTTAAATAAATGACGCTGGCATTATAATCTATAAACCATGCTTAGCCAGACACGAAAACACCAAATGAGAAAATCAATAAACGGTTCACTCTGCTTTTTAGCATGGCCACCCTTTGGGTGGGCTTCAAGACTCCTGTCCCCTCCTTCATTAGCATGGCTGATTAATGTGCCAAGCCAGTGCTGCCCATGCCACCTGGGTGCCAGGTGGTGTATTGGGACCTTTGTCTGTAAAATGGATGGTGATGGTGCCCACCTCATAGCGGTGCCTTGGTATTAAATGCAGTGGTGCTGTGGCTCCCTGGTAAGCAAAAGGCAGACTTACATGAAATACTCCAGGGCCTCTCCGGCCATTGTGCTTCACCCTGTCCTGTAGTCACCAAGAGGTTGTTCTCAGAGTGGCCATGAGGGATGCTCATCCAGGGTGCTGTGCGAGCTGGGCAGTGAGCTGAGGGTAGGTGGAAGGCACAGTAGGGACTTGGCTCCAGGCCCTGGAATGGTGGCACAAGAGCTGGCTGTGACTTCAGACGTGAAACTCACTCTTTAATTATACTTCACCAGACTTCAGCCTAAACGTGGTCTGTGGTTGAAGCTTCCATTTTAGGACCATCATTGGTGACTTAGGTCCTGAAACCCATCATAACTCTGCTCTAAAACTTCAGTGTCCTCACTAGCTAAAAATATGCCACTCTGGAATGGCGCTGTAAAAATGCCTCTGGCCTGACCCTGGAAATGGAGCCACATGGAGGAGGCTGGAGAAGATGGAAGCCCAGAGTCATGTGCTGTCCAGCCAGGCACACACAGACCCCGACCTCAGGATGGTGTAGATGGGCTGTGAGCCCCTGGGAAGTTGGTCACATTATTTGGTGACTTCTCCGGATGAATCATTTCTATTTTTTTTAATTAAAAAAAAGTTGTGACATGTTAAAGACTGCATGCCTGAGCCCCCATTCTGTTGAAATCACCGCCCAGAAGGACAGGGTTAGATGGTGGGCATGGGTGAGGTTGGCTCACAAGAGCAGAGCCCTCACAAGGGCTTCAGTGATCTTAGAAAAGAGACACAGGAGACAGACGTTGCCTGCTCTCTCTCAGCTCTGCACCACATGATGGTGAGGAAGCAGCATTTGTACCAGGAGGAGGCACCAGAACTCAGCCACACCAGGACTGTGACTCTCTGTTTCCAACCTCCAGAATCGTATAAAATAAAGGTTGTTGCAGAAGATTTTACAGGATCCAGATACAGAACTGGGAAAGGCTGTTTGCTCCCTTCTTTACTGTTTTCAAGCTCATACAAAATCCCCCATGCTACTTGCGCAAGTCAAGTCTGAGGTAGAAATTACAGGCTCTCCCCATAGCTAGAAGCCTTCCATTCCTGGAGCTAACGTTTTGGAAGAGTCTCAGAGACAGAAAACTCCAAGGGACAGAGAGACCTCTGTGTGGGATCCAGAGGCTTCCTCTAATGTTCCAGCCTGTTAGCTCTCCAGCTTGGGTTTCTTGATAAACTTATGTAACTTCTCTATGCCTCCGATTTCTCATTTGTGAAAGGCGGCATCAGTGCCTCTGCTGGACCCTGCATTTGGGGTACTGTGAAGAGAAGATGTGATGGGGTGGAATATGGTTTGTAGACTGTAAAGTGCTATACTTAAGATTGCTATAGTGTTCTGCTAGACCAGGGCACCATCTGCTCACAATGTTTATTAACAGGATCAACTACTGTATTATGCTGAAAAAGAGAGATGGGAGGGAGGAAGGAAGAAAGGAAGGAAGGAAGGGAGGGAGGGAGGGAGGGAGGGAGGGAAGGAGGGAAGGAGAAAGGCAGGGAAGGCACATTTCTCCACCAGCCTTTACTCTCACCTCCCTGTGCTGCTCTCTGGAGCTCCATGTCAGTACTCTGGGATGCTCAGGCAGCCTCTCCTGGTCTCTTTAATGTGATTTGTGGATAGTGTAACACATGCTAATCTTGGTGTATAGTGCTTCCTCAAAGCAGAGCATTAAGCCTGCTGCTCAGGCCTACCTCTGTCTTCTCAGAGACACACAGCCTGGCTGTAGCCATGACATTGGTCCCAGGGATTCTGAGTTCTGGCCAGTCTTTCACCTGTGTCTGTCACCCCTTAGGCCACACCACTCCATCCTTCTCCTTTGCACTTTATGGCTTGGGAGGCAGCACAGAACAGCCAACAAAGGGTGGGACTAGGGTCCATAGTTGGGAAGACCAAGTTCTGCTCTCACCTGCTGTTGAGGTGCTGTGACCCTGGCAAGCCCTCTGGGTGGCTCCCTTTCCCTTCACTTTTAAAACAGGATGCCTCAGCTGGGGCTTCCCAGGAGACACTCTGCGATGAAGCTTTGCATGCTAAGCACCCTGGGGACTGGCAGCCTCAAGGAGTGGGGGCCAGGCCAGACAGAGGAAGAACCTCAATGCAAATCACACAAAAGCCTGAGATTCTGGGGGAGTAGAAGTGGGCTTCCCTTCGGAGCCATTCTGTGTTGAGAGCAGAGGCCCGGTCTTGATTGTCTGCAGGGATTGGACCTTGGACTCAGGATGTCCCTGGGTCAGGGATCCACCTTTCTTGGATCGAGGGCAATTCTTGTGGGACTCAGACGAAAGCTGCCAGCTGCGAACTTCCCAACAGTTGAGAAATGAGAGCCCCTGTTTGTGGGGTCTGGGCAGCACAACAGGGTCCCTTGCAGTGGGAGTGGGGAGGATGGAGGCGTGTGGCATCTGCAGAGGTCCAAACACAGTGCTGCTGGTACCTGCTAAACCAGTTCCTACCACCATTCCTGTGGTCACCACTGCACTGTGCCAGTGCAGCTCTGTGCATTCTTTGTCTTTCAGAATGTTCTCCCATTCCACTGCGAGCTGCTTAGTAGAAATAGATATGTTTTTGCTTGTTTTGGTCATTTTTTAACCTTTGTAAACCCCCCCCACCAGATGAAAACTTAACAAATAGTTGTAGGATAGAGAGACCGATAAAGTGAGAACGGCATTGGGTCACATGAGAATGGATACTGGAACAAGAGTGCCCCTGGGGCTGTCTTTGGGGACACTGGGGACATTGCCTCCACTGTTTTCATTACACCCAGGTGATAATTCTCTGGCTGTGCTCTGTGTTTTCTCCTAGTTGCTCTGGACTCGTGGCAGTCCCTGGCTGTCTCCTCAGTAGCTGTAGATCCGTCCATCAGGGACTTTGATGTCGCCCACATCAGCACTGCTGTCACCACCAACTTCTCAGCCGCCCGGGACTTCTGCTTGCTGGGTAAGAAGAGTACGTGCCCCATGGTGGGTGGATCAGGCCTGTTCAGTGCTACTCAAGGTCCTGATTTCAGAAGCTTACAGAGATTCCAGGATAAACAATGTAGGGGTGGCTTGGCAGGAAGAAATGAGCTGAAAGGAAGAGAGCTGAATGGGCCTCCGCACTGCCCACTGCACCACCCTTGGGGTTAGGAGGAGGTGCCCTTGTGCTGGTCATTTCACAGGCTCAGCTGAGACCCAGGCTGAGACTTATTCCAAGAGACTTTCTTTGACACAATTGGGAGAACTTTCTAATAGGCAAAGGTATCCACAGATGCATAAGCCCTTTAGAGAGTTTTAATCATTGATGTTATTCAAATAATAACTACGTGGCCACATGACTGGAATGTTCTGCAGAGAATTTTTAGCTTCTAAAAGTGGCTAAGGTCAGATTCTATTTATACCCCTCCACCAATCTGAAGCCCTCTAGGATTCCGTGAATTCAGTGAATCTCCTCTACAAGGTTGGATAATGTTTCACAAAGCTATGTTTATCTCTTAGACCAGGCCACCATTATGCACAGGTGTCCAAATTGCATACTGCACACTGTAGTTGGTGTCATCCAGAGTCTGGGTCTGAATAGACCCTTAGGCCATATACAATTTCCCCAATTAAATGAAGTAGCAGTATTTTCGAAGGCATTCTTAGTACTGAGTGCCATGAAATAGTTGAAGTGCATTGCCTAGTATAGTAGTTAACCAGCAAAGGAAAGGGGATAGTCCCTAGTGGTATGTGCAGGGTGAGCAGGTATTGAAACAGGATGGAGGGAGACTAGGTAAAGAGGAAGGCAAGAGCTGGAAGGAGAGCCTGTCTAGGACCTCTTCAACCTGAACCCCCTGAAGAGCCACAGGAATGTTTCCAGTGCAGAATGGCAAAGGACCACTTAAGAATTGAACAAGCAATAAAAATCTTGACTCTTGTGTGGAAAGTAGGTCCAGTGAGAGTTTTGGGTTCCCCACCACCATGTTATTTTCAGTGTCTGTGCAGTGTGTAGGATTTGTAGTAGGTGCTCAAATGAACAAGTGATTTCATAATGAATGGACAAATGGAAGGACAGAGACATAGACGGAAGGATGGATGCCTGGATTCGTGCAGGTGTGATTGGATGGAAGGATAAATGGATGATTCATGGATGATTGGTGGAGGCAGAGAAGGATGGAAGGGCTGATTGATGGACCACTGGATGAATGAAAGGGCGGATGGCTAGATGGCTGTGTGCCTGCATAGATGTGTGCTTTCATAAATACTTGGAAGGGCGAGCGGATGATACACGGATGGGTTCATGAAAACGTGGCTGACTGGAAGGACGGATTGACATATGGATGGAAGGGAGGATGGATGATTGCACGGGTGGGTGGATCCATACAGACATGCATGGTTGCATCAGTGAGGTTGACCTCTGAGGCCACACTCACTGTCCTTCCTCTGCCCTGCAGAATGCTTCCAGCACCAGGCCTGCCGTATCACCACTCTGCAGACCCGGCCCGGGGCTGTGCGATGCGTGTTTTACCCTGACACCCAGAGCTGCACACATAGTCTGCAGGGCCACAGCTGCCGTCTCCTGCTCCGTGAAGAGGCCGTTCACATCTACCGCAAACCTGGTGAGTTTGGCCTGGCCTGGGTGGGCCTCTGGGGGCCTGAGAGAAGCCCCGGGGCTGTCTGTGTGGTGCCTCTGTGGACAGTGGCTGTATTGATTCTTGAGGGAACATTGGTCAAAGTTACCCAGGGTGAGATGGCACTGAGCTGGGGAGGACTGGAGGAAGTAGGAAAAACTCTTTGTTGCACTTTTATTAACTTATTCCATTAAGTTTGGCCTTGAGTTTCTTACATAACATTAAGTCGGCCATTTTTACTGCTTTTCAGCTTAGAGAATTCTTTCACTTGCTTTATTTCATTTGACCATCACACTAATCTTGTGAGGTGGCAAGATTTTAATCTTAATTGCCTTTAATTTTTATTTCTTACATGTTTTTGATACATGATTACATTTATTATGGGAAGTTAATACATATAAATCATACACCTTGATTCTTTTTTTTTCCCCCTTTCTTTTTCATACCTTACCTCTCCTTTCCCTTCTTGTTCATTCCAACTCTTGGTCCTGTTCCCATTTGCAAAAGCTCTATTTTCATAATTTTTCCCTTTAATTTTTTTCCATCCTCTTTCCCTTCACTTCGCCCCCTGTTCCCCATTTATTATTCCTCCATCCATTTGAAAACATCTCCTCACTTCTTTTTATTTATTCTCTTTCTCTTCCTCCCTCCTATATGTATGCTGTCTTATACAAGAGAAACCATGTGATATTTAAGCTTGTGTTGGACGTATTTCATTTATTATTATATTCTCAAGTTCCATCTATTTACCTACAAATGCCTCAAGTTTGTTTTTCTTTATGGCAGAGTAGTGCTCTATTGTATATAAACACCACATTTTCTTTATTTATTCATCTCTAAATGGGCATATAAGTCACTTCTAAGATTCAGCTACTGAAAATTGTGCTGCTCTAAACATAGGTATGTATGTGTTCCTGTAATACAATGACTTTAATGCTTTAGAGACAATATCTAGAAGAGGAATAGATGGATTAAATGGAATTTCTGTTTTTAGTTTTCTGAAGAATCTCCACACAGATTTCCATAGTAATTGCACTAGTTTACATTGTCACTGACAATGTAGATTGGTTCCTTTTACCCCACATCCTTGCCAGTATTTGTTACTATCTGATTTCTTGATGATAGCTATTCTTTCTGGAGTAAGATGGTATCTCAGTCTTGTTTTAATTTGCATTTCTCTAATGGCCAGCAATGCTGAACTTTTTTTCTTGTATTGTATTGGCAACATTGGGCATTTGTACTTCTTCTTTGGAGGAGTGTCTGTTCATTTTGGTTGCCCATTTTCTTGATTGGTCTTTTTAATTTTGGGAGCTGTAATTTTTCTGAGTTCTTTATATACCTAGATGTTAGTGCTCTGTCTGAGGAATAGCTGACAGGTTGTCTCTTCATTCTGTTGGTTATTTCCTTTGATGTACAAAAGCTTTTTTTTTTTTTTTTTTTTTGTTCCG